AACACTGTAAGATAATCGGCCAAAAACTCATAGAAAATTCAATAATACAAATGCAATAGAATTTTCTAGCGAACTCGTTAGGTTTTTTTATTAAAAAATTTTCGTGCGTGTTTTTAAGCTCGAGAGGTATTCGGGAGAGAATTTTTCCCTCCGACTCCCACTACTAGACAAAATCCATCTGTCAGCTCAAACGTTGGGTTCGCATAACGTGGGGTTTTTCATATATAAGCAACATGAAAAATTAGTAATTAAATTATCAAAAAATTGTTGAATACCGTGTAGGCTATACAAAATAACTTCGAATAGTGCAATTCTATTGGTGTCATTTGTAAGTTCTCCAAGTTTTATTTTACTTCATTTTTTCTCTGCACGCATTAATTAAATTGAAGAAACAATGTGGCGGTTGAGTGCGGGTAGCGTAATAACAACTTGTGGTTAGTAAATTGAGAAAAAAAATAGAATATTTCGCGTCGAGTGTCACTGGGGTTTATTACTCGGGTGCAGTTGGCGGCCGAGCCGAAGGCGCGGACTGGCCAACCACGTGAGTAAAAAAACCCCATAACACTAGCCGTGAACGATAAGTTTGCATAGTGACTTTCACTTTTGCCAGTTTGGGGAAGGGTCAATACCAATCCCCAGACTGGGAAAAGTGAAGGTCAGTACTGAAAAATACTTTTGCTAAGGAATCATTTTCTTGGGAGAACAATTCAGCAGTGAAGTGGTAAACGGAGATAAGTCGACTTATCTCCCAGTTGAGTTTTTGAGGAATATTCCCGAATCTAAGGGAGATAGCGAAATTTTCGCAATTACATTTATTGTAGCACTCAATCGGCTCCACAAAAAAGGTTATAACAAAAATTCTGCTATCTCCCATAGATTCCGAGATATTGATTGAAAACTGGTCAATAGTCAAAATTTACTTATCTCCTTTTACCACTTCGCTACTGAATTTATTTTGTTGCGAACGTATTTCTCCAGACCAATCATTCCCAAGTGGTCCAAGTTCATCTCCAAATATTTTTAATCGTGGAATGATTATGTTCCAAATTATTTTACGTAACAATATATCAAATTTAAAAAAAATGAATGATAAAGGGTGTTCATTCAAGGCCGTATGTAGCATAATCATTTTATAATTCCACATAATTTTAATATTTGGAGAGGGCCATGGACCATCTGGGAATGACTGGTCTCGAGAAATACACTTGGCAAAAGTAATTCTTTTTCTCAGTATAGAAATAAAGTCGCTTGAATTGACCACGTGAAATGTGTTTACATTTACAATCGAACTGAGATATTTGGTGGGAGCCTGAGGGTTGAAATACCTTTGATTACGGAATTGTCTAGAGGGATCGTGAGGGACAAGGATAGATTGATGTTTGTCTTGAACATGAGCGATGTGGAACGATCGAGACGCGTTATATGAGTTTCGAAATAATTCGTTGTGGCTCGCGCCGCAAAAAAAATTAGAAAATTCAGACCGAGGAATTTTTTAAAATCGCGGGTTGGGGGGNTTGGGGGGGGGGGGGGGTGACGGTGGCATCTGTCCGCACTGTTGTCTGGCAAAATCTTTTTTTTGTATTTTGTTATATTGTTTTGCTATGAATGATGTAAACAGAATAAGCTGCAGACAAAAATTAAATTCTAATTCGAAGGAAACGAAGGATTAAAAAACTGATAATGACAAATGACATGAGTTTAAGGACGATAAAATTCTGTGTCAGAATGATAAGACCTGTCGTATTCCAGAGAAACAGCTTATGACTCGTCTCATTCCACCGGAATTATATCACTTTATTGATACTGAGAGATATCAATATTTGTACAGAAAAAAAAATTCCCATTTCTCCTTTTTCCCTCTCAAAAATATCCTCCACTTTCTTATCATCTTTACGACATTTCTCGCTCGTTCGAGACGTTAATTATTCCCCTCTCGATTTCCTAAAAAATTGTACATTATACTCAGGTGTTGGGGGAACAAATCCTTATCAGTTCCTCAGTCATTTTTTAGATATGATAAGGCATTTCGATAAGAGACTCAGGTACCACCACCGAAAATCCGTAACCTGTTTGCCAAAGGGGACACGAGATATCATATTTTCAAGATACTGAAGATAAAGTAATTAAATATTTCCTCGTGCTGGTAAACCCCACACAATAAACTTCGAAAGAAAAATAACGAATCGTCTCTATCTGTACTAAAAATTTCTTTACAACCGAAAATAAAAAAAAAATACGTTGGGATTGCTCTGTGCGACATCTTGAGCACCCGAGGTGTCTTTGGCCCGTGTAAACATTACGTAATTCTTCGGGAGGAAGAGGATCGGAGCAGTGTGCCGGGTTTGTCGTAACAGTAACTCTAGAATTTGCACATGAAAAGATGAAACGTACATTGAATTTCGATGCTTTACTATTATTTTAGTCATCATGAGTTTAAAATTCGGGTTTTTTAGCTAAAAAAATTATCACGACTTGAAAAATCTCCTTTCTCCCAACGTAACTGTAAAAATAACGAGAAAGCTTCATGAAGAAATGTCGATTTACAAAATTATTTTGTTTCCATAGACAAATTCAGATCAAATTGGATTCATTTTGCAGTTATAAATATTTTTAAAATGTAATTAAAATATTTCGTCATTCTACTTTATCAATCTCGGGGTATTAACGCTCAAAACAACCCATGTTGCCCCACTCTTCCAATTTTCTTCCATCAATTTGATGTTTTTATATTTTTTAGACAAAAATTGAGATGATTGAATTTTTGGAACGAAAGTACAAGTTTTTTAATATTTTCCAGCCGAATAATTCGATTTGGATGAATCTGGTCTCATTTTGAAACTCAAGAGAATACCTCGAAAATGGCGAAAAATTTATAAATTTTCGCTCTGTCGATGTTGAATTATTATCTGTTGAGAATGTTATATGTTTCCTCACTCTGCCTCATTTATTTAGAAGTTGAAATAGTTCAATTATGGGAAATTACGCCGCACTTATTAATTATCAGTCTCTCAATCCTACTTGATTTCTAGATAATAAAATTCACCTCAAACCTGTATGTTTGTTGCCTCGCACCTCCTGCAACCCACAAATATACGAAAATTGAAGAAAAAATAGGGCAAGAACAGTCGAAAAAAAAGTAAAATTCGTTCTTGAAAACTAACTAACAAGTGACGTGGACGTGGGTTCGGCATCGCTTCATATACCTGTGACCAAGTGACGTCACGGGCACGTTTCCTTATCACACAGTGGAGACAACACTGCTGGCAAAGCCCAATGTATTGCACCTACAATAATGGTTCACACGTATTTAACCCTCGGTTTTTTTGCGCGGTTGACACCTGGAACCCACCCAGGTTGATTCCACTGCTACTATCATTGTCGACAATACTCTGTATTGGAGAGACAATTGGACGAATGGTGTGGGGAATTGAGAATCGATGGACTTTCTCGACTTTTGTTGTGGTTTTGTATTATTTTGGTATGTCGAAACAAGTATCGAGGCCGGAAGTCTTCGTTCGGTTCGTAATTTCCATGAATTTTAGCTGATTAAGGTGTTTCCTGCGAAAAAGGTAAATAATGTCATTCATCTGGAATTCATATAGAATGTTTACAATCAGAATTGAATTGTCTATGAATATTTCTAGAATTTTTTCAGATTTACTTTTCAAGTTATGAACGATTAAAGTCGCTGCTTATACATGCGCTTTTACGGAGGTTTTTCTATTTAGCATGAAACTATATTATCAGTTCAGATGGTACCGCAATTTCGTGCTAAGCAGAAAAATCTCCATAAGAGTCTATGCATAATCAGCGACTTTAGTTGTTAATAACACGAAAAGGAAATCTGAAAAAATTCCAGGAAAATTCCCAGATAATTCAATTGTGATTATAAATATTCTATATGAATTCCAGATGAATGTCATTATTTACCTTTTCCGCACGAAACACCTCAAGTGGGTCATTGAATAATGTTTACAATCAGAATTGAATTGTCTATGAATATTTCTAGAATTTTTTCGGATTTCCTTTTCAAGTTATGAACGATCAAAGTTGCTCCTTATACATGCGCTTTTATGGAGGTTTTTCTGTTTAGCATGAAACTATATTATTAGCTCAGATGGTACCGCAATTTCGTGCTAAGCAGAAAAATCTCCATAAGAGTCTATGCATAATCAGCGACTTTAGTTGTTAATAACTTGAAAAGGAAATGTGAAAAAATTCCAGGAAAATTCCCAGATAATTCAATTGTGATTATAAACATTCTATATGAATTCCAGATGAATGTCATCATTTACCTTTTCCGCACGAAACACCTCAAGTGGGTCATTGAATAATGTTTACAATCAGAATTGAATTGTCTATGAATATTTCTAGAATTTTTTCGGATTTCCTTTTCAAGTTATGAACGATTAAAGTCGCTGCTTATACATGGGCTTTTACGGAGGTTTTTCTGTTTAGCATGAAACTATATTATTAGCTCAGATGGTACCGCAATTTCGTGCTAAGCAGAAAAATCTCCATAAGAGTCTATGCATAATCAGCGACTTCAGTTGTTAATAACTTGAAAAGGAAATGTGAAAAAATGCCAGGAAAATTCCCAGATAATTCAATTGTGATTATAAACATTCTATATGAATTCCAGATGAATGTCATTATTTACCTTTTCAGCACGAAACACCTTAAGTCGGTCATTGAATTTCCCTAGTTCGTTATAAAAATAAACCAAAAATCTTAGAGAGAATTTTTTCTTTAATCGTCACTTTGTTGATCTTCTGAATCTCAGATGAATTTACAACCCAGGAGCCGCGAGATAAGGGTGCAAACGCGGTTGAGTAAACATGTTATATAAAATAAAATCACCGAGGCGTTGGGAGTAGGTTGTACATTGAGAACTTCACACTTCATTCGTAGATTATGAAATTTTTGAAAAAAATGTAGAGATAAAGATCAATTCTCTCGATTTCTTCTCCGAGTTGTTTTGTATATTTCCTTTTTTCTCTTCAGACAGTTAAGGTTGAATGTGCTGTGCTTATCTTCCCCCTATGCAATGGAGATAAATCTAGATTGACACGGAAATATGAACGTGTGACTGCAGTTAGTGGACCTGGGGTTTACCTGACAGACTCGCGGAAGATCCTTTTGGTGTTCTCGAGGAGTTGTCTGTACGTCGATAGATCCTCAGTTTTTTCCTGCTGCAGGGTTGCTAGACGAGCTTTCAGCGCCAAGTTCTCTTCTTCAAGAAGCTCTAATCTATTTTGTTAAGGGAAAGAAGACGTGGAGGGGAATAATTTCGAAGTGCGGGAGTAGAATTCAAAAGAGATGAACTGAAATTATTAATTCAGAGTATTTCTGAAGGCAACTGGAGAAGGAAGGGAATGAAAATATTTTATGCAGATAATTTTTCCCTTAGAATTTTGACCCACACGGAGAGAAAAATTCAATAAAAATTACCGGAAAACAACGTAAAAATTACGTTTCGAAACGTAATCCGCGAGCGAAGTAAAATTCAATAAAAAGTGTGAGTCGGAACTGAAATTCAGTAGCGAAGTGGTAAAATGGTACAAGTCAACTTTGACTATTGGCCAGTTTTCAATGAATAGCTCGGAATCTAAGAAAGATAGCGAAATTTTTGTTATCGCCTTTTTTGTAGACCCGATTGAGAGCTACAACAAATGTCATTATAAAAATTTCGCTATCTCTCTTAGATTCGGACATATTCTTGAAAAACTCAGGTGGGAGGTAAGTCGATTTAAACCGCTTTACACCTTCACTACTGAATTGTACGAGTCGCCACGTAATTCTAGGATTTGTTCCGTAAAAATTAACCGCCCGTCTGATGATTCACCCCTGTGGAGACAACAAGTCGTTCCGTAATTTTTCCCCAACGATTGAGAAATTTGACGGAACGGAACGTAGAGATAACTCACCAGCTTCATAAAAATATTTGAGCGTTCAAGAATTTTTGATTTTGAAGGCATAATAAGTCGGGAAGTTTCTGTAAGACTTTACTTCGTCGGAAAAAATTACGTGACAATTTCGTACTTTGTTCGGTGATGAACCTGAGAATTCACTGAACGTTTCAGATTTCCTCTCTTCCATTCCTATGAAAATTGTCGGAAAAAAATTCCCCATTGCGGATTACGTGAATTGTTCCGTAATTTTTACTGAATATTTCTCTCCGTGCACTTGAACCAACAGAATCGTGACTTTTTACCACAGGTGGGATTATTTTTTTAATAATCCTCCAAATACCCCTACGGGGTAGAACGGGTTGGGTACGAAATTCTTCTTCGTTTTTTGGGTACCCCATGATGTATCAAAAGTCGATAATTATTTTCATCAGACTTTCAAATTTCACCTGGGTCCCCACGAATCTATTGGGAAAGACCCGATCATTTTAATATTCTTAGAGTCTCACTTCTGAACATTTCGTAAAGATTGTTTTCCCGATATCTGTGAAATCAGGGGATTGCGGAGAAAATTAAGTGTTTTCTTTTCAGGAGACGTTCACCTCGATTTTTTTAAAGTTGCATTTTCGGTTACAAAATATTCAAATCTCTAATTTTGAGCGTTCGGAAACAATTCTTATCTGCAATATCGAATTCCTGAGGGAAAATCATGTAGATCATGTTTAAAATATTTATTTATTAAATAGGATTAAAAAAAAAATTCCTTCAAAAACGAAAAGTTTTTGTGTGTCCCTTAACGTATGAAAGTTATCTATAAAAAATTTCTTATTATTCAATTCTCCAAATCGCTTCTTTTCGGTAATGGAAAATGGAATAGTAAAGTGATTTTACTTGTATCTGAATTGATCGTCACTCAATTCATTCTTCGACGAAGTCAAGGACTTCGATGATCTCGATCTGTATCCAGAGTTCACCCTAGGTCTCGCCACCGTCTCAGCCTCAATTTTCTGGAGCCTATTCTCCAACTTGACGACTTTAGTCCTCTCTCGGCGTAATAATTCCTGAACAGTTCATAATTGTAATCACTTGAGTAGACAGCCCCATCATCTTGATGGTAAGTGATTCCATGAGAGAATATGAAAAGACACTTTTCTTTGGAAATTATTTCAATTGTATATAAGAAAATCGTCTTTTGACATTTCTTCATGTCACTGATTTCCCGGAATTCATACCCGTGTCGAATATTTTGATCTGATAAGTCCGGAAGACGACAGCTGAATTATTCTAGTTATGTGTCGTTTAGGTTTCCAGGGATTTGGGTAAAATTCGTTTAGACTGAATGAAAAATCATTTCTAATGAATAACATTATTGCGAATCGAATCTTCATGACTTTCTGATTTTTTTAATGCAAACATTCCAGCTAATTATTTATTAAAAAGATGTAGGCTAGAGAAGAATTACTGGATATTTTTTTAGGTTTTTCCAAGTTTTCGTTGAGTGAAAAAGTAGTCCGCAGGGTGAGAAAACAACTTTGGCTTCGGGAGGTCTTTGAAAAAATCGGTTGAAGGCCAGAAAAGGTTTTGAAAGTCTTCCAGAAGGTGGACCAGCCCGAAATATTCGACTCGGGCAACTCCTTGAAAAACCTGGAAAACCCCTAAACGAAACATAACTAAAATAATTCAGTCAGGACTCTTCAGGTAAAATATTTGCGGCAGAGCGCGTCCCCAATCATTGGGGAATCGCAATTGTGAAATTTAGTGAGTGTTAAAAAAGTCTAAACTTCACAGATTTTTTTACCAAGTTCATTATCATTTCATTACCACTAATTTCCAATGACATCGTCACTCATATTCGTAGTAATGTCACTGATTTTTCGGAGCCCATCTTTAATTTTCGTAAATTCATCATCAAATTTCAATGATAAAAATCACTGGTGATCGGGACCATCCTAATCAGCGACCAGTATCATCAATAATTAGTGATAGATTCCTGTAAATCAGTGACATATTCCTGAAAATCAATTTTTTTTCTCGGTGAAAAATGGACGATTTTGTTGTTATGCTGTGCAGAAGACAGATATCTTACGGACACATGATCAGTATCCGCCCTCTCCTTATCCAGTCGACGGTTCAAGGCAGCCACCACATCCATGAGCCTCTCCCTCTCCGCCTCGGCAGCTAGCCCCAAGACGACATATTCATTGGGATCCTGGTGGTCTCTGCCACTGCCTAATGAAGACGCATCGCGATAATTCTCGGGTGAATCCCGAGGATTCAGGTCGATCGCACTCACTGCACCCGATCTATTCCGTTTTAATATTTCAGTATAATTACAGTTGGAAAAAAATGAGGAGGAGAGGAGCTGAGGGAAGGGGATCACCTCAGTGTATTAATTTCGGTTTCGCGCTCCGAGAGCTTCTTGCGCAGCTGTTCAATCAGGAGTCTCGAGGAATGTAACTCGTTCTTCAGATTCGAACATTCTTGGGTTAATTTACCAATCCTATTTTTTGAATCTCCATCTCTTTCTTTGTATCTGTCCTCAACTGCTCTCAATTGACCCTTGAAGTATTGGAAATAATTATTGAATATTAATTCATTCATTTAGTTTTGTTTATATTATTTCTTGAGGGATTTTATTCGCTTGACTCGCTTGATTATTTAATTTTCTTACAATTGGGGATAAATAATATCAAGACAAAATGAGGAACAACTTTGTTTAGTGACTTCACACACAAAAGAATTTCATAATGAAACCGAGCGAATTTGCTAGAATTTTATTAAGATGAGACTACTGTGAGTTTTAAAAGTCGTGGGTTATTTGAGTGAGACTTTTCGTACGTTGAAGATCGATTATATAGATCTGAAAACGAGTAATTAGTGCAAAAAAAAATTTTTTTTATTGTTCGTTTGCCCGAAAACGCTTAAAATGCTAAAAACAGTCCAGGGCCTCCAATTTTTGAGTTACAAAAAATTTTTTTTTTTCAAAATTTTGGGAAAAATGTGTGGAAGAACAATTACGAGCCAGTTTTTTGGAATTCGACTCCTACACAGCTGATTTAGTTTTTTCTTCATATAAAAAAATTCACTATTTGTGTAAAAAGTACAAAAAAAGGAAATTTACTCACGTAAGAGGTGAATTAAAAAAAAAACTAGCTCGTAATTGTTATTCCACATATTTCTCCGAAAATTTTGAAACAAAAAAATTAGTCGTAGCTCAAAAATTGGAGGCCCGGGATTGTTTTTGGCATTTTAAGCGTTTTCGGGCAAACGAACAACAAAAAAAAATTTCTTGCACTAATTATTCGTTTTCAGATTTATATACTCGATCTTCAACGTATGAAAAGTCTCACTCCAACAACTCACGACTTTTAAAACTCAGTAGTCTCCCCTTAAATATTGATTTCTATTAATCTCATATAACTGAAAAACATTTGTAACACCAAAGAGATGAATAAATAAAAAAAATATTGATTTCTATTGCAATTCTGATAGGTTTTCGCCGATTTTATTAAAGAATTCCACAGTTCTTCTGCGCGTTCTTCACAACAGAAAATATTGAATAGAGAATTTTAAAGAATTTGTTTTTTCATTAAACTGATTCTATAGAAGTATTTTCTACAGAATTTCCGTGGCTCAAAAAATTCTATTTGAAAATTCCATTCGTCCTCGATTTTCCGATTCAATTGGAAAATTCAGGGGTACTTTTTTTAATTACATATTTTATCTTCTCTCATTAAGAACTTCAAACAAAAAATAACTCAAACAATGCAAACCAAGGAATTTCTATAGATAATCTTAATAGAATGAGTGATATGGAAAGATCCAAATCTGTGAGAAAATAGTGGAATTTTCGATAGAAGCCTAATTGAAATCTGATATACATTATCTGACCAATGCCGTAGGTTTCTCTACGAAATTCTTTCGTATGCGAGCATTCTTTCGGGAGAGAGTTTCCTGCATATGCCGTCAATGTCCCAGTAACTTCCACTCACACATGAAAAAATTCAAAAGAATCCGATTCTATTGGATATTTCATAAGAAACAGTTGAATTTCTGTTTGAATTTTTCTCTTATATTTTTTCTATTAGAATTATTGGGCACAAATTTTCAGATTTTTTTCCGCTGGATTTTGTTTTGTTTTGCATTACAGAATCTGAGTGGAAAAAACTTGAAAAATTGATGCCCAAGCATTCTTATAGAAAAAATCTTAAGAGAAAAATTCAAACAGAAATTCGAAATCTATTGATTTTGTCTTATCGAATATCCAATAGAGCAAAAAAAGAATAGATTTTTTCAATAGAATTCCAATAGAAATCCTATAGAAACCCCCATAGAATTCCAATAGAATTTTATAGCGAATTCGATAGATTTTCAATAGTAATACCTCTAGTGCTTCAAAATTATCGGATATTTTCCGATAGCTTCGTTGTCTCGCGACTAGGGAAGCTTGAGGAAACTATCCGATTAATTGTGAAGCACGAGTAGTATTTGAGGGATTATTTTTCCACTCGGATTTCGGCCAAGCAGAGTGCAGTGAACAGCATCCGGATACCTTTACACAGCCATACATTTACAATCCACTTTTCTGTTTATCTGTCACACAGAATATTAAACGTGAAATGCGTTGAAAGATGAGAAACATTTGAAAAGCTACTAGTGAATTTCCGTCGGAAATTTTTTAGAAATTTCCGAAATAAAACTGTTTGACAGCCTCAAATACTGCGCTCTGATTGGCTGAAATCCGAGTGAGAAAAATAATCTATTGAATTTTTTCATACTATCGGATTCAAATTCAGACCTACAAAGTTTAAATAATAAAATCATTGTAAAATGTCCGAAAACTTGGGGTCAAATGGGGCTCAAATAAAAGCTCTGATATTCGACTACAAAAGTAGAAAAACATTTCACTGGAGAAAAAATAGCTAAAGTACTTGGATACTCTCAACTGGGAAATTGACGGTAGGCGTGTCACTTTAATATGACACTTATTCAAATGGAAGAACAAATAAGGGTATTCATTACGTTCAACGCTTGGATTAATTGATCATCATGGATTTTCCTGTCATTCAAGATGATGATATTTCGTTTAGAATCGGACAGTTCATTCTCCAGGACTTTTACTCTTGCTCTCGCAGCTTCCAATTTCCTCCTGTTACCCTCGAGAGCCGTTTCCGCCTGCCGCAACTCCTTTCCTAAATGTTCCACTTGAGTTTTTCTGTCTCGCTCGATGCTTTTCGTTCGGTATGAACTTCTTCGCTCGAGGGAAACTGCAATTTTGAGCGTTGGAAATAATTTATAGAATCCAACATGAACGATTTTAGAATGAATGAACAAATAGGCTCATTTTATAAAATTGGAGAGAGTAAATCACTTGAGGAACCCCTCGAAGATTTTTCCGAATCGTTCAATTTGTGCTGGAGCTCGGAAATCTTCTGCTGGAGCTGCTGAATGTGCTCTGCCCGTCCTTTCCACCCTCCTGGATGACTGAGGAGACTAGTTATCGTGACATTATCTCCGACTTCACTGCAGAGCAGCTGAACTCCGCATAATTGAGTTGATAATTCAATTCAGTACAGGAAAGGACTCAATATAATTCAGTAGCAAAGTGGTAAAACGGTACAAGTCAATTTTGACTATTGACCAGTTTTCAATGAATATCTCGGAATCTAAGGGAGATAGCTAAATTTTTGTTAAAACATTTTTTGTAGAGCGATTGAGAGCTACAATAAATGTAATTACGAAAATTTCGAAAAAAAAAAACTATCATATTTTCCTGAAAAGAATTCTTATTATTACAAATAATTGATTTTTCAGTTTTATAACTATAACATTTTATTATTATTATTATCATTATTATTCTTATATACAGTAGTGTATCTCCCTTAGATTCGGAAATATTCCTCAAAAACTCCACTGGGAAATAAGTCGACTTAAACCATTTTATCGCTTCGTTACTAGATTGTAATTGTATAGAACCGAGCAAGATGATTTTTGCACATGAAATCATCTCACTTATGACTAATTATGATAATTGTCACTATAATAATTATACAATCTCAAGAAGAATCAACTAAAAATCATTATAAAACTCATTCTTTTTACGTGTCAAGTGCTCACGGACGAAAAAATTTAATAGAAAAACCCATCGAATTCGTTAGAAAATTCTATTGAATTTCTATTGAACTGTTCTATTAGTTTTTGGCCGATTCTATTGAAATGTTCAATAGAAAATATTCAGTAGAAAAAATCAATAGAATTCAATTTTTCTATATAACTTATTCTATTGAGATATTTTTTATAGAATTTCCTCGGCTCAAATTTTCTAATTTTTTTCGTTTGATTTTCTTGATGAGAAAAAAAGAAAAATAGAATGAAAAAAAAACTTGGAAAATTTGAGTCGAGCAAATTCTATAGAAAATATATGAAAAGAATAAGTTATATAGAAAAATCTAATTCTGTTGACTTTTTCTTCTGAATTTTCTATTGAAAGTTTTTTCACTTGTCTTTTTCTTTTCATTAAAAGAATCGAGCAAACCCCTTGAAGACTTCAACTCGAAAAATTTCTATAGAAAATATTTCAATGCAATAAATTGTATAGAAAAATCCAAATCTCTTGATTTTTTTCATTAAATATTTTCTAGTGAACATTTCCATTTAAAAACATACGCAAAAAATAATGGAATTCGTAATAGAAATCCAATAGATTCTCTTGCAAATTCGCTAGTTTTATAAGAAATAACGAAAACATAAATTTAGGAACAAATTGGATTTTCGGAGAATTCTAATAGAGTTCTCCTAGAAAGCCCATAGAATATTCCATCGCATGCTGTAGTTTTTCTATTTTTTGTTTATTTTTTCATCTGTGAGATTGTCAAGAACTATCAATTTTTCTCGATTTGTTTTTACCTTCTGAGCTTTGTTCAACTCCTGACGAAGTGTCAAACAGGAATTCTGACACTTGTAGTACTTGGAGTTTGCTTGATTAAGCTTCTCCTGGAGGATCCTCACCTCCTCATTCTTCGAGGAATCATTTACCGGAGTTTTTGCTTTATCTTTACTAATTTTTTTCTCTTCAAGCAATTTCTCCTCAGTCTCCTGCAGAGTTCGGCGCAGCGAGCCGTTCTCTGACGTCAAATCCTGCGAGATGACTCTGTCTTTTAAAAATATCCCACGGTTAAACCAATTTCAAATCAATCAGACATGACGATTAGTTTGAGTAACGGAATTTACACGAATTTTAGTCTTCAAGTGACTATTCAATTCCATTGGGAAGACGAAGTGGTCCGGGATCGATTCCTCCCCGAAATCTTCATACGAAAAATCATCTTCATAGTGAAATACACGCCTGTCATCCTCGCTCTTCGTTTTTACGCTAATTTTACTCATAATTTCTAATTATTTCAGCTGACAGCAACACAACAAATCATCAGTCGATGCTGCTGTATTCAAGTCATAAAAATAAACATGCGAATTCTCAACGTTACGCAGTTTTTTAAGGGGATACGTCGGTGAAATTTAAAAGTTCACTGGGTTTTGGGTCCCATTGAACAGTTTGTGATGAGAGAATATGAGAATAACTAGAGAAAATCACAGACCCGATTGATTTTGCTCTATATAATCACGAAAAACTTCATTTTTTTCCGTTTTTACCTTCAAAATGCTCCTTGCGCCGTAATTTTCATACACTGAGAGAAGAACAAACACGTTGTAAAACAAGTCTAGTTTGGGCCAACAAAATCGCTAGTTGAAAATTGCCAAAAAAGAATTTGTTTGGTTCGAATTTGAAAGTCTCAAACATGAATGATTGTTCTGCTTTCAACAGCAACGAAATATTTGGCTCAAGAGGCGGATAATTCACACCAGACGGTACCTTTTCAGGATGAAAATATCTCATACAGAGGAAAATTTCATTTAAGGGTTCATTTCTTGTCTGTGATTATTAGACCACCGAAACGAAAAACTACTATCCCTTGTTTCGCATAAAACAAAGATTTTTCGAGAGCAAAATACCTATGGGCGTATCGAATAACAAAGGAGTAGTGTTAGAAATGCCATTTCTTGCGTGGACAGTGAATGTAATTTTTTTGAACTACTAAATCTATTTTTGCGACAAAAATTTTTCATTCCGGCGCACTCTCTGCATGTTTGGCACAAAAAAAATCCTTTTTTGATAATTTTCAAAAAACTATTTTTTTGGCACAAGTAAGACTTACTTGAGAACTTTGTCGTTTTTCTCTCAGTGTACGATTTCAACTTTTTTTTAGATGTTCGTTACACTCCAAACAATAAAGTTAAGCATCCGTTTTACTTTATTCGCAATAGATCATGAATAAATGAATTTTGAATTTCATAAATTTTTCACGTCTCTAGAGTAGGAATAAAAATTCATAGTTTTTAGTAATTGAACATTTGTACATTGTACATTCGGCAGGTTCAAGCAAAAAAGCGAGTTCAAAAGAAAATTTATGAAATAAATCTAGAGTCTACTCCATTCATTGAGGTTATTGAAAAACAATAAAATAATACAAGTAAATGTTTTTTTTAACAGATAAGACACTCATTATATTTTCATAACGTCGCATATTGACAAATCTATTTACTTAAAAAAATCAGAGATGTACAGTAAGTTATCTACTGTGAAGATATATCAAGAATGTATTTCGTTCTGTTGTGTTCCCCGCAATGGGAATTGCAATTAATTGTCTGCAAGGAGTTGTTGATTATCCTCGGCTCTTGTTTTGGTTTCTCCTGAAGTTTCTCTTTTGAGAATCCTTGACGCTGCCAGCCAGCTGCCCGTGCTTTCTCATCGCGTGGAGTTTCTGGTTCTTGGCGACCACTTCCGGCCTCTTGCCAGTGCTTTTTGACCCTGGCTGACTGTACTGCACGTTGATCCTACGCCCCAGCAGGTTGGACTCGTGGAGGGACAGACCTTTCTCGTAATCTACACTGTTTGTGAATTCTACGTAGGCGAAACCACGGGGTTTATTGGTTTGGGAGTCTGTGGGAATTCGCACACTAGAGATGGTCGATACCTTCGTGAGGAAGTGCTTCTTAATATCGTCTTGTGTCGCTCTGAAATGAGAAGAAATTGTCAGAATGGTGGGGAACAAGTTAGAGGTGATTTGTGGAGGAAAAACTATGAGTGGAAATATTTATTTGTGAATAGTTGGGGCAGAAATAAATCGGAAGACGTGGTTTATTGAAAATTATGGATATCCAAGTACTTTGATTTTTTTATTGGAATCCCTTTAAAAATTTCCAGCCAAGAACAAAGCTTTCTATGGGGGTTTCCAATGATTTTATCATTCAAACTTTCAAGGTCTCATTTGATTTGCCATTCTCAAACGTCAGGAAAAATTTAACAAATTGGAAGGGAAGAAGAAAGTCCATGCTGTTGATGAAATTCGTGAAGTCATTCGAAAATTACAATCTTTGGAGATTACCTATTCTCGTTAATGGTTGATAAACAATACATTTCTCACTCTAGAAATAATTTTCTTAAAATCGTAATTTATGCAAAAAGAAATTGCATTTTCGAAATTTTATAAAATTTTCTCATCTATTTATAACAAATGAGGAAATACCCAATTCAATTGTGACATCTGTCTGAAATTTTTTTAATGCATTCGAATATCCAAGAAAAGCTTCTCGATCGTTTTTTCTAAACCCACCAGTTCCAACAATATTTTTGAAATAGATCTCCAAAAAAATAACAGGTTCACAAGTATCCCCCCACGTATTTTGCAAATATATTTGAAACTAGTAGATTTAGATAAAAATATCAGAAGCCCTCCTTTCACATCTACAAATTCACAAGATAATCAGTGAATATTCCCCAAATAATCAATCATTACACACATAAATGCAGAATTAAACTTACGCGTAGGGCAGGTTTCCAACGAAGAGAACATATCTCGTCTTCTTGTCTGAATTCTGCATCTGTTGTCCAGCATTTTTAGCGGCTTGTTCAGGCTTCGCAGTTTCTTTAGCTTTCTGTGTCTTGGGTGCTGCAGGCTTACTCTTAATTTCAACTTTCTTTTCTTCTTCTTCCTCTTCCTCATCATCTTCCTCCTCCTCATCATCCTCCTCCTCCTCCTCCTCATCATCATCATCATCTTCATCGTCATCATCCTCATTCTCAGCCTCTTGAGAAGTATTCAAAGTACTATCAACTTCTTCAGAGTCTTCCTCATCACTCTCCACTTCCTGAGAAGTATTCAGAGTGCTGTCAACCTCCTCAGAGTCTTCCTCATCACTCTCCCCCTCCCCCTCATTCTCATCCTCATCATCATCCTCATCCTCATCGCTCTCCGCCTCAACCTTAGCAACGACCTTTTTCCCCTTCCCCTTCTGCTCCTTCCCCACCTTATTCCCTTCAACCTTAACAACTGGCTTAGCAACTTGCTTACTCTGCTCCTCCTTCACCAGCTTCGCAACGTTCTTAGCCTTTTCCTCCAACTTCTTCGTCACCTCCTGTTCACTACCTCCAGCAGTCTCCGCCTCCCTCTTCTGGATCGCATTCTTATGCCTCCTGATCTTTCGTTTCATACCTGCAGACAATGTTGGAGTCTTGGGAAGCTCAGACGGTGGTGTGTAAGTTCCCTCCTCGATCCGCAGTTTCTTCTGAAAAGCTGCCAGCTTCCTGCGAGCTGTTCTAGTCAGTTCCCCTTTGCTCTTCATGTTCTCGATCCTGATTCTAATCTCATCAGCACTCAATTTAATGTTCTCGGGCTTAAATTGCCCATTCTCCTTCCTCTTCTCCCTTCTTATCTCCTTCTTCTTCTTTTTAGCCTCCAATTTTTTCTGGAGAACCTGAAGTGCCTGATCTTTCTTCTGCTCTGGGGTTTGTTCTGGTTTCTCTAGTTGTTTCTTCTGTTTTTTGGGATTTTTTGGGGCTGACTTGGGGGGTTGAGCCTCCTGTGGCTTCTTCGGGGCATTTTCTTGGGCTGGAACGGATTTTTTCTTGTTTTGCTGAGGTTTGGTACCGTTCGCGGCAGCACCGTTGGTGTTTGGCTCTTTTTTCATTTTTAATTTTTTTGGGGGACCCTGAGGGGAGACTTCGACCTTCGCTGGCGCCACGGAGGCCTCCAGAGACCTCTTGTTTCCTTTCTTGGCCATTTTGTCTGTAATAAGGATTTTTTAGAATTACAATAGATTGAGGTAGAATTGGAAAAGCGGTTTGGAAATTCTAAACGGAAGTTGATATGAATAAAAACATTCTGGTTGGGTTCATGTCCAATTAGTAATCTAGTATTATTGATAATAATTAATTCAGAAGTCTGTAAAACGTGTAAAACTATACAGAGGGAAATAAATCATTATCTTATTTCAGAAGTGGCAAAATAACACCGAGTCTTATGTGAAAATGAATTTTTAGAGATTAGAGAGAAGATAAAATGCAGAAACGATCTTAAATAATATGAAAAAAAATTATAAAAATTTTATGCTTAATACACAAATTGTCATCAGGGTTTAAAATTATCATCATCATTACGTTTCTGGGTACTTCAAATGTACAGGATGCTCTAGTACATGCGGGAAACAAGCAACTATTGTTTGAAAAAATAATTGTAGAGAGGATTGGCTGGATTAATTTTTTAATGTCGTCAAGGTTAGAATTAATGTGAGAACTTATCAATGATGGATAGGGGAGGATGGGGTAAAATAGACACTTTTGACTTTTTTTAAAATATTCGTAGCTCAGAAACAGATTTATCAATTGAGCTCAGTCTAAGCTCATCACAAAGAGGAATCATTATTCTTTCTATTAAAAAATAAAATGATTCCATTTAATGAACAATTCAACACGACATGAACATTTCAAAAAAAGTCAAAAGTGTCCATTTTACCCCACCCTCCCCTAATATTTGAATAGATTTTATGATAACAACTTGATTATTTAAATAACCTCCCACGACTCGACACAAAAAAATCGATCAAAGCAATTGCAATCCAGGAATCTTCGTGAAATAATATAAATCGAGGAAATAGAAACCCAAAAATTAAATAAAAATTATGTGAAATTCTCGGAGTCGAAAAATCAATAACTTATTCATTTATCCACTAACTTTAATCCATAACTGAATAAGAAGGGACATATTCGAATAAATTTTAGCATAATCAATAGTTAAATTACCTTAATTAATTATTTAAACAACTTCTGGAGACTTGAGACCACGTGTGTAACACCAACTCCGAAATTCTCGTTGAATCGGAGTCCCACGCTGTTAGAAATGCGTGCAAATGAACATAACCTAGAAAAAAAGGGCTGAAAGTGGCTGGAAGTCGATGCCAGCGCCGTTGGTCACTGCGAGGCGGATTTGGGCGGCAAATTTAGTGTGCAGCCGGTTCACGCGGTGTGGATTGGCGTTTGTCGAGGTTATCAGTTGCCTTTGAGGGCGTAAATTAATGTTTAATCGGTGAAAAATGGGTGATTCGGATTTTAATGAGCTTCTGAGGTCGGCGGAGCAGCTTTCTGCCGCTGTTGAGGGGTCCGGAGAGCTTCCCCAAGTCGAGAGAAATCTCAGGCAGATTCTGGAGGCCTCCAACGAGCTGTGGTCTCGTGTCACGCAGAGTGGGACTCAGGATACACAAGTGCAAGCGTAAGAATTGTCAATCCACTTTTTTCGAATTTTTTATTTTTAGGGCAGGGTAGGGTAAAGTGGACACTTTAGACTTTTTCAAAATTATCCATAACTGAGAAACAAATGTATCAATATTGCTCAGTTTAGGCTCATCACAAAGGGAAAGAATTGTTCTTTGTATTGAAAAAAAAAAAAGATTGAATTTCATCAACATTTCAACCCGTCACTAATATTTAAAAAAAAGTCAAACGGGTCCATTTTACCCTAACCTCCCCTATGTTTTTTAAATCAACTGTTAGTTCATGGGATTTTTGACATTTTTTCCATTGCTGCAGGCACCTGTTGTTAGGCTCCAGGGGAGTGGATCTGCCCCAGATATCACAGAAGCTGAATTCACTCAGTGCTAGACGCACTTTTGAACCGTTGGATCCCATCGCTGATACTGACATCGTCAGTTATCTCAGGAATGAGAAGGAAAATGCTATTTTGTCGATTATTGAACAGGTTCATAAGGATGTGAGTACTTTTAGAATTTTTCATTCGGAGGGGGTGTTTTTGATTCTGAATGGAAACACTGTAATCGTTCTATTTTCACATTTTTTAAGTTTGATTAGAAATGACTCGAGTTTAATATTTTGACCTGAAAAGTCCTGACTGAATTATTCTCGTTATGTCCCGTTCACGAGGCTTCCAGGATTTCCAAGGAGTTGCTCAAGTCGAATATTTCGTTCGAGTTTAATGTCTGAAAGATTTGCAAAATCTTTTCTGACCTTCGATCGGTTTTTTCGAAGATCTGTCTCATCCTGGGAACTACTTTGTTACTCTATAAAGCCCTGTAAAAACCTAAAAAATCTCCGGTAATTCTCCTCTAGCCTATTTTTTTTTTCATAAATAACTAACGAACTGTCACTTCGCGCCCGTTGCTAGATTAATTTATACTATATTATTTTATTTTTTTCACCTTTTCCGTCTTCAGGATTACATTAAGTTAATTCGATTCATTCTTATTCTTGATATATTTATTTTTGGCAACTGTAAAACTGCACCTTTTACGGTCCTCCCGACGAATAACCCCATCAAATATCTTTTCGAATAATGAAAGAATACCCATCAATTCCATTTCTATCCTTCTCTTCTGATAGAATGATGAATGTAATGAATGGCATTGAATAACAAAAATCACGAATTGGAGATTAAAAATTTTTATAAAAGGATAATCGACTAGAAAATGGAAAAATTTGTTTTTCTTCATTTGTTTCGCTGGAAAGTGGGAATTACTTTTTTTCTTCAAATATGGGAAACATGAATGAATTCAAAATCGGTATACTTTTTCGAATAATGAAAGAATACCCATAAATTCGATTTCTATCCTTGTCTTTTGATGGAATAAATAGGAAAAAAAACTCCCTCCTCTTTTCTTTCCTCCGTTTTTTTTGTCTAGTAATGAAAATTAAGAATTGGAAACTAAAAATTTTATGCTATTATTATTATTACTATTATTATTATTATTATTATTATTATTATTATTATATAATTATCTGCAATTTTTCCATTAGAAAAATGAGAAAAAAATAAGGAAATTCCATTCGTAATAATTTTATTCATTAGAAATGATTTTTCATTTAGTTATAAACGAATCTTAATATTGACGTGGATAAAAGTCTTTCATCCAAATCCTTGGAAAACCTGGAAACCTTCTAAACGGGACATAACTAGGATAAATCAGTCACCGTCTCCCGACCTTTCCGTTCAAAATATTCGCCTCGGGGATGTAGAATGATCTGAACTGTAAAAATACAAAGTTAGACGACCTCGTCTGTATGTGAACATCCCATGAATCCAAAAAAATAATCATCCACAGACATTCGAGCTCAACCGAGTTCAGCAAATGGAGCACATGTTGGGTGAGTGGAAGCAGATGCGTTTCGAGATAATAAACGCGATGACAGCCCCTTCAGGTGAGCTGGTGGACCTCCGAGGCATTCCCCAGCGCACAAAACTCGCTGGTTCCATGGTCTCCGGTCTCTCGAACATCGAGACAGCCTACGCCAAGGAGCTCCAAGTCTACAATGACCACGTCCTCCGTGGCATCTCTCGGCCCAGTCTCTTCAACGTCTTCTCCCGAGCCGCAGAGACCTTCAACGACAAGAAGATCCTCGACATGTGGAACATGGTCAAGGTCATGGTGAACATCCCCGCGACCCCTCGAGGCGACCAGATAAAATCCCGCACCAGTCCAGAGGTCGAGCAAACGATCGTCTCCCAAGCACGCAAATACCTGGAGAGTCGTTACAGAGACTTCATGAACTCTTTGGTGAACGAGAACCTGGCTCAGGCGAAGCGTGGAGGCATCCCTGGGACGATTCCCCTGGTGAAGAGCTTCGTGGGGATCAGGATCCAGAACACGAGGGACCTGGAGGATGCCCTCGTGGACGACAGACCCATCTGGCCGCTGATCTACTACTGCATGAGGGCTGGGGACTTCAAGGCTGCTCTCCAGTGCCTCAACCAGTGCTCCTCGTCCTTCCAGGAGTTTCGTCAGGCTCTGGAGGAGGCCTCCAACGACCCCCAGAGGCGCCCCAGCACTCGGGGAGAGTCCATCGTTAAACTGCACTACAGGAAGCACGTGAGGTCGGCCACAGATCCCTTCAAACGGGCTGCTTACTGCGCACTTGTCCCCTGCGAGCCTGATGATCTTCATTCCGAAGTCATCTGCACTGCTGATGACTATTTGTGGCTGAAGCTCTGTCAAGTCAGGGAGCAGACTGATGCGGAGCATAAGTTGACTCTTGATAGTCTGCAAACAACAATTTTGGAGGTTTGTGATGATTTTTTTGCAATTTATAGGGTTTATGTATACTGTTTATCCTTGGAAATATAGTGGAGATGAAAATTATCATCGAGATATTCATGAAATCATGATAATTGATTAGTGAAATGGGAAATGATGAGAAAGTAATTATTTGAAAAGGAAACAATTATTTTTAGAATAGTAATAATGATAGTTTTCCCATGGCGTTGAATCTTTTTGGTGAATTATTTCAATTTTTAATTGCGGAAATGAAACGATTCCCCACGAAAGTTTAGAATATAATGAAGTAAATTGAAGTAGAAAAACAATTAACAAAAATATCCTAACAATGGTTTTTATTCTATTTTTATATATTATTTGGTTCATTTTTCATATTCTGTTTACAAAAATTTTCAAAAGGAATTTAATTAATTTAGGCTAGAGAATATCAAATACTTCAGCCATTTTTCTTCTTTGAAATTCCTTTCAAAACTTGATAATCAGATAATTTAAAAAGTTCAAATTTTTAATGTTTATGGCCTTTTTTGAAATAGTAATTGTGTCCATATTTAGAAATCGATTCTGTTCCAAAAAATAATGTTCCTGCAAGTTTTTACAGTTCCCAATATTTATTTATAAGTGAAATATATAAAAAAAATAATCCTTGGTAAAGTGTACTTTGATGATTCGACATCTCAAATAGGAAAATCTCAATGATAATATCATTTACACTGATCTTACTCTTCTTTCCACGTATGCATGATTCATGTAATAATTCATACACATACCATTTTAATGTAAATAATTGACACATGGACGATCCATTCGAAATCACTGTTTCACTGTCTCTTCAGTCACAAACACTTCCAAAAATCACATCATAAAAACAAAACTAATTATCACACTTGATTAATTCCGCAAATCATTCTCCTTTCTGAATGGTTTTCGATGTGAAATGAAGGATATTGATATCCACAGGTCTACGGAGAGAGTTATTACCACGCTCATGAGCAACCATTCCTGTACTTCTCGATGCTCTTCCTGACCGGACAGTTCGAAGCTGCAATTGAGTTCTTGGCCAGAGGAGCTGGAGCCAAGCATCTGCCCCACGCAGTTCACCTGGCAGCTGCCATGCACGAGCACAGTCTCCTGGCCCCATCCCAGAGTGTCCTAGCACCACTGATAACAGTGGATCCTGCTGATAAACCCCCTGCGAAGCGCCTGAACCTGGCTCGATTGATTCTGCTCTACGTAAAACGATTTGAGAGCTCAGATCCCAAGGAGAGTCTCCATTACCTCTTTCTATTGAGATCCATGAAGGATCCTCATGGGAGGAACATGTTCGCAGCCTCTGCTGCTGAGATGGCGGTGGAGGCCTCCCCTCAGAATCGAGCTTTACTCGTTGGAAAGATTGATAAGGACAGGAGACTGCCGGGAGTTCTGGACCAGTTCCACATCAACACTGATGATGTCATTAATATTTGTGCTGAGACTCTGTACAGGAAGGGGCTACTGGAGGACTCTGTGACGATGTACGATCTCGCTGGGAATCATGAAAAGGTTCTGGAGATCATGTGCACTTTGCTGGCGCAGGTCGTGAGCCAGAGGAATGTTCAGGGGTCCTTGAGGTCTAGGTTGCAGACTATTGCTACTGATATCAGTCTGAGGTGAGCTGTCATTTTATTATTGTTTTTATAATTTTGAAGGGAATTGAGAGGGGAAATTTTTTTATAGGGGAGGGTGGGGCAGAATGGATAATTGACATTTCAGTAGTGAAGTGGTCAAACGGTTTAAAGTAGCTTTACCCTTACGGTAGATTCAAAGATTATTGAAAACGGCAAAAAATTGCAGAAAACTCGATTAGATTCGAAATTCTAATTTTTTTCTCAATTTAATTAGCGTTTTGGTTTTTCATAGAAGAAATGTTTAAAAATTAGGATTTAACCCAGAGTTTTATGTGAAAATCAACATAAAGATATTCGAGTATCTCTTACAGGTTCATGTGAAATAAACTGCAGATGTGAAGATGATGCTTGAGAGAAATAGAAAAAGATCGTAATATTAAAAAATCATGATTTTTACATTATTTTTTTCCATTTTCGCCGAAAAGTAGACTTTTTCGTTTGTTTTTATTTTCAAAATACTTCCTGATGCTTTAAAAAGGCGAATCAAATTTAGACCATCAAAATAAAAAAAAATGATGAATTATATGATAAATGATGAATTCACTGCCGAATGTTGGGTAATTTAGGGTAAATTGAAACTTGAATCGAAACTCTGATGTTTCACTACAGAATTTCGGGCGCATTTCAACGAAAAAAGAATGTTGAAATAATCTGGAAGCCATAATAATGAACAATAATGTTGAAATAACTTGGACATCTTAAATTAAGAATGATTACTCTTGATTCGAGAATAGAATAAAATAGCTTAATAATGATATCGAAAATGACGATAATTCTTTTTTTTTCGATTTTCTTTCTTCAGTAAAAAATACCTTCCCAGAGTTCTTAAATCATAACCAGTTCATTCTTACATCAAGAGTATTGATTCTTGAATTGCGAAACAAGCAACCAAAAACAAAAATTATCGAAACAATTATGTGATTCCTGACTCAACGAGTTTCCATCAATTATATTTACAATCGCAACAGCAATTGTTGAATTCCATTCGCCCAATGAATTCCTCTTCTATCTAAATATTTCCTTATTTATAATTTCAACTATTGTTCCTCGTAGGTACCAAGGAATTGCTATTCAGGTCCCAGCAGAGTTGGTGGCTGCATTCTATACCCTGAGAGATCTCATGGTCTTCTTCGATCAGTTCCACGACGAGCAGCATCAGACAGCCCTGAGGACAATTGCTGACTCGAAACTGCTGCCTCTCAATGTCAAGGAGGTGGATGAGAGGGTCACTGCGCTCAGGAGAGTCTCTCCAGAGGTCGCTGGGACTCTTTCTGATGTCCTTCTGGCTACCATGACGATTATCTACAGGCAGTACCAGAAGATGAGGGCGTCTGAGCCTGGGGATGAAGTGGCCAGGGAACAGCAGCTCAGGGATCTGAGGGAACAGGCCAGAGCTTTGACTAGTTTTGCTGGGACACTTCCTTACAGAATGCCCAATGAGACGAACAGTAAACTCGTGCAGATGGAGATCCTCATGCATTGAGGGCGATGAGCTTTGGATTTTTTGTGAATTTTGATTAGTGTAATTCAAGCATTTTTATGCTGATATTTTGGATATTGATTTTTGTAAGTTCGACAGTTTGTTTCAGTGAATATACGTGAATTGATAATTATGTGGTTTTATTGAGTTCTTCTTGTACGAATCATAGTAGTCTAGGACTAGTTATAGTCAAGGGGTGATTGATATGTGATGATTTCTGGACGGAGATCTTTGGTGTTGGGACGGTTGTGGAGGTTCTTCACCCTTCGTTGTCGTCTGAGTCTGAGAATCTCATTGGGGTGATGGATATGCCACTGCTGAGGTCCTGGACTTTACCCTCTTTCATCTGGAATTTAGATATTTTCAGGGAATTATTATGTATTACAAATTTTCATTGAAATTTATGCCAAATGACTTTTTCAATGCAATTTCTAGGGATTCTGACATCGAAAATTCACAATTTATTGAAAAAATCAATGGGATCAGTAGATTTACACTCATTATTGCATGAGAATCACTAAAAATCAGGACAATACAGGCAAACATATTCTTACATTTTCAATTAATCGAAAATTCACTGCGATTTGGAGATGAATATTCATTGAATAATTCATAATACATTGGATTGAATAAGTGGAATCGAAAAAAATTGAGTGAAAAATATTTCTTTCACAATTTTGAGGTCGTACTTACCGCCCTGTAGTCCAAAATCATCTCCTTGAATGCTAAAAAATCAGTGAATGTTTCCAGAACTTCAAAAACTTCACCATCTAACTCAGGACTGCGATCACTGCAAAGAATACAAAAAATTAATAGCTAAAATTGATGAAAAATATTTCATAGTAAGAAGAAGTAGGGCAAAATCGACACTTTTGGCTGTTTTTCAATGCCAATCACTCATTATATTGTTAATGACATGGAATAATATTTTCTTCCCCAATTGAATGAAGAATTCTTCCCCTTTGTAATCAGCCTAGACTGGACATTCAACTAATGAATCTGTTAATTATGCTTAGTTATGAAAATTGAAAAAAGTAAAAAGTGTCCATTTTCTCCACCCACTCCTAATTAAAATTCCTCATTCTACCTGAGTTGCTTCACGAGGGATTCCATAGAAAACCCAGGAATTGTTCTCTTCAGACTCTCTTCAATATACGATTCAATGGCCTTATGCTGCTCAAATTAACAATAATTAATACCCCCAAGATTTTTGCTCAACCAACTTGTTGAATTTTTATTCCATCCAAGGCTACACTGAGAAAAAAAAATTTTTTTTTTGCCAAATATGCATTTACTTCAGAGAAGTATTCATTTCTTCAATATCGTATTTCTCCAGTCGACTCATTCCGAGGCAATTCTCATTAGGTTTCAATTATGAAGAATATATTGCTCTAGAAGATAATCATGTTAGTTATAACGTTGAGTGAACTCCCTCAATAATTATAAATATTAAGAAATTAAACAAAATTCAATAGCGGAGCGATAAACCGGGTTAAGTCGATTTTGACTTTTGGTCAGTTTTTGATGAATACCTCGGAATCTAAGAGACATGGCAAAATTTATCTCTCAACCTTTTTTATGATCCTCAATTGGCGCTATAAAAAAGGTACTAACAAAAAATTTTTTATCTCTTTTAGATTCCGAGATATTCGTAAAAAACTGGCCAATAGTCAAAATCAACTCAACCCGGTTTATCGCTTCGCTGCTGAATTCTTACCTGTAGAAAGTAAGAAATTCGGAAAAAATGAATAATCATTGGAGAAGTTCATCCAAGATCATGTTTAACGTAGTCACTCTCTAGAGCAATATGATTGTCTCTCAAGTAAATAAATATTTGGAAAATTCTTTTTTCTCAGTGGACGCGAACGCTCTCACGATTACTTCATTCACTTGTGAAGAGCTCCGTTTTCGTCATTCAAATTTCAAATGTATTAAATTTCATGCACTCACAATCGCATTATAAAAATGAATCATCCATAGAAAAAGGAACTCAATTAAATCAGTAGCGAAGTGGTAACACGGTTTAAGTCGACTTATCTCCCAGTTGAGTTTTTGAAGGATATTTCCGAATCTAATAGAAATGGCGAAATTTTCGTCATTATATTTGTTGTAGCTCTTAAGCGGCGTTACAAAAAAGATCATAATAAAAATTTGGCTATCTTCCTTAGATTCCGAGATATTCATTGAAAACTGGTCAATAGTCAAAGTTATATCATTAAACTCCAGACCACTGAATATTCAAGATATCCTAAAGTCCCTCAGAAGAAAAAACATTAAAGCTATTTCAAAATTCTTCAAAAATTGTTCAATTCAGATATAAAATATGTTTAACAAAGACACTAACTAATTAACTAACATTAAGAGACTATTACAATTTATATATTTTACTACTATGTAATGATAAATTGTAATACATTTATTGGTAGCTGAATGAGTCCGAAAGGGGTTCGGAAGTTTAATAAGAAAAAAAAATTGACCTGTACGGTTTTACCACTTCACTACACTGAGAGAAAAACAAAAACGGTCTCAAACAAGTCTAGTTTGGGTCAACAAAATCGCTAGTTGAAAAATGCCAAAAAAGAATTTGTTTAGTTCGAATTTGAAAGTCTCAAACATGAATAACTGTTCTGATTTCAACAGCAACGAAATATTTGGCTCAAGAGGCGGATAATTCACACTAGACGGTGCCTTTTCAGGATGACAATATCCCACATAGAGAAAAACGTATCAACAAACATTTTGTCCCTAAGTTACAAGATTGCTATCATATCATCATTATTGTTTCATTTCAGTAGCGAAGCGGTAAACCGGGTTAAGTCGGTTTTGACTTTTGGCCAGTTTTTTATGAATATCTCAGAATCTAAGAGAGATAGCAAAATTTTTCTCATAACCCTTTTTATAGCCCTCACTTGACTCTACAAAAAAGGTCATGACAAGAATTTTTCTATCTCTTTTAGATTCCGAGATAGTCGTCAAAAACTGACCAATAGTCAAAATCGACTTAACCCGTTTTACCGCTTCGCTACTCATTTAAGGGTTCATTTCTTGTCTGTGATTATCAGACAGCCGAACCGAGAAACTACTATCCCTTTTTTCGCATAAAACAAAGATTTTTCGGGAGTAAAATGCGTATAGGAATATCGAATAACGAAGGAGTAGTGCTAGAAATGACATTTTTTGCGTGCACAGAGAATGCAATTTTTTTTCAACTACTAAATCTATTTTTGCGACGGAACTTTTTCATTCCGGCGCACTCTCTGCATGTTTGGCACAAAAAATTCCTTCTCTGATAATTTTCAAAAAACTATTTATTTGGCACAAGCAAGACTTGTTTGAGAACTTTGTCGTTTTTCTCTCAGTGTACTGAAATATAGGAGAGGTTGGGGTAAAACGGACACTTTTGACTTTTTTTCAAATGTTAATGACCGGTTGAAATGTTGATGAAATTTAATAATTTTTTTTTTCAATACAAAGAACAATTATTTCCCTTTGTGACGAGCCTAAACTGAGCTCAATTGATAAATTTGTTTCTGAGTTATGAATAATTTTAAAAAAGTCTGGTGTCCATTTTACCCCACCCGCTCCTATAGATCAATGATAAGTGAGAGTCTATTTTACCCCCTGGCCCCCAATTCCCATAATCTCTCGTCATTTTTCACTCACATACTCATCAAAGATGTCCATATAAATCAGCTTATTCTCCTCCACCGAGTCAAACTCTCTCCAATACTTCTCCAAAAAGTATTGTTGCGTTTCTTGGAATTTAGGTTCTTAAAAAATACGAGAACGGTCAAATAGAAAAAATTGGAAAATAAAATACATAAATTACAGTCCGAATAGAGGGGCAAACAAGCTCACCCATGAGAATATCCTCAATATGCCCGATAATTACATCAAAAGTCTCTCCTTTCTCCTCATTCTCGCCCTCTTTTGTAGCCATTCCCCTCTATGAATACACCGAATTCCTGAACAATCTAAGAATACAGAATGGGGCGAGAATTATCTTTATTCAACAAAAGCGCTGAACAAACTCCGGGTCTTCTACCCCTTCCGTTATGTTTGTTGATATTGAGTTGATATACAATAGGTTAGGTCAGTCCCCACGCCTAGTCATGCGCGTCTCCAGCCAATGAGAGCCGCTCTCTCCAGTTTTAAAAGACAATTCAAACGGTCGAGCACGGCTCGCCCAGCTGAGAGACTTCAATGGACGTGCAGCCACGCTTCGAGAAGGACACGCGCTCCAGTTATCCTAAATTCACGTGTTTCTGTTGATATCCAAGTGTTCATCAGGCTTGAGCCTCGCGAGAAGTGACTGCTACAGTGTTTATCGGTGCCTGTTAGTGCTTCTGATCTCATTAGAATATTTTCTTTGCTCCAAATTGAAACGAAAGAGTTGAACAAAACCTTTAACTCCTTCATAATGATGGGTGAAATAATTTTTGTTGTTTAATTGGGGAAGCAAGGAAGTGTTTATCGTTGTTGATGAGTGATTTTTAATTTGGGAGGATCAGATGGTTCTTCACTGACTTCAAGTGGAGAGAACACAACGGGAAATTCTCAAGCTTAATGAGCAATTACTGTAAAATATCAATTATTTAAAAGAAAACTCGAAAATTTTAATTAGAAAATTCGAATTAGAAGTGATTGTTACGCCTTTTATTAATGGCGATTGGTGCTTTTTCGATTTTGTAACGCCTTTCTTCCCTCCAAATACCTCTGAACAACAGCAATAGCCATAATAAAATTTAAAACATGTCCACAGTAATAAATAGAACAATTTTAATTCTCTAATCCAAGAACTATAAAAGAATAAAAGTATTTATCAGACTAGTGCTTTATTACGTTGTTCATTATTGTTAATTAGTATTTTTGAAAAGGAATATCATATCTTTCTCGAAATAGAGACTACAATTCCATTAAAACATCAATTCCTCACGAGAAATTTCTGAAATTGACTTTCTTCTGAAAAAGTACAGGTGTTTAGTGAAATTGTAGGGATTTAGAAGTGATTATTTCATTTTTTATTAATGGTTACTGGTGCTTCTTAGATTCTGTAACGTCTTTCTTCACTCCAAATACCTCTGAACAACAACAATAATCAAATTACATTTTAAAATTCGTCCACAGTAGTAAACAAAACTATTTTAGTTCTCTAATCCAAGTACTAAAAGAGCAAAAGTATTCATCAGACTAGGAAGTGCTTTACAACAGTTTTTATTATTTTCAATTGGTATTTTTAAAAATCGGAAACAATATATTTTGCCAAAAAAGACGAAACAACTACAAAATCTCAAGTTTAATGATCAATTCCTATGAAAAATCTCTAAAATTGACTATTACAAATTACAAAAAAAAATTGAAAATTGATTATTACAAATTTTATTAATGGCTATTGGTGCTTTGTAGACTCTTAAATATCCCTCTTCACTGCAGAGACCTCTAAACAAAAACAACAATCGCAATAAAATCTAAAACTTCCTCAAACAAAAAAAGAACAATTTTAATTTTACGATTAGAAAAATATAAAAGTGCTCCACGGAAGTCTTCATCAGTGTTTCCAGCTCCCAAATCATCACCCCTCCTTGGAAACAGCCCCAAAACCCTCTGCAAACCCCCAAAATAAAACCTAGCAATCACATTGAAGAGTGATTCCCCATTGGTCCTCCCAAAACTCCAAAAATGGAAATTTACACATTCGACAAAAGTCTCCAAGAGCGTCTGGTGGAGCTCGAGGAGATCTTGTCAGGTCGTGGAACAGTGGTTCCCGCATCGAGGATAAAACACGAATGGACGTTCCACGTTGAACTGGTGATCGAGCCAGTGGGGTGGCAGGCCCTCTGGAAGATTCCTCGACTGACCTGCCAGGAGTTTGAGATCCACTACCCGACGATTGTGGTCGTCCAGGTGGAGAACGTCGACTTCTCCGAGCTGTCGGCACTGGTGAAGATCGTCGCAGTGCAGGACGAGATTCACCTGCCAGAGAAGTGCGATGTTCCGCTGGTAGAGTTGTACCCCACGAGGAACCAGGAGAACTCAGCGATAGATGCTGAGGGAACAGCCAATTGCGTAGACCAGTTGAGGTTCTTCTTCAATCATCTGTGGATGCCATGGGACACTGATGACGATGACACTGCGGACTGGGTGACGAGCCACCTGGAGACGAGGGTCAGACTGTTCTTCGATATGAAACGGGGGGATGTTAATAAGGACACTTGCGATATCATCAGGACGCTGATAAGGGAGGGGAAGGAGATCTCGGCGAAGATCTCGAGGCTCGAGGAGGACATCTCCGATGAGGAGGGCGAGACCAAGTGCCTCGTGGACGAGGACAAGGCTTGTCAGCTCGTCAAGCTGCATTTCAGGCTCCAGCAGATCAAGACTGAGATGGATGTGCTGGAGAACCCGTCGATGAGGGACATGCTCCAACGAAACCCTCATTCGGGGATCAATTCGGGGGAGGTGAAGAGGAGGGAGAGCAGGGGGAGCAAGGTCGAGGCGTATTTCGTGTGGCATGGGGGGGAACTGGGGGAGACCATGGGCAGCCTGGAGAAGGCCAAGGAGTTCCTGCCCCAGGATGTCTTCATCAAGTGAGGGGGTTTCATTTTTTATTCCATGATTTTTATTTTTTTTATGTGGATACGTCTATGGTTTCAATATGGGGGCATTTTGGGAAATGGTCCTTATGTGCAGCGCTATCTGTTGGAATTCTAGATTCTAAATTCTAGACATTTCGAGGTAAATCGAGAAGTTTCTTGAAATTTCGAGAAAATTCAAGGAGTTTCTGGAGAATTCGAGAGAATTCAGGGAGTTTCTAGAAAATTTGAGGGAATTCGAGGAGTTTCCAGAAAATTCGACGGTATGCAAGGAGTTTCCAGGAAATTCGAGAAAGAAGGAAAGACCATGGACGTATCCACGTACAATTAAAGCTGTATGAAAGATACGGTCGGCCGCAATTTTTTTGGCCATATTTCGACCGGCGGAGAAAATGGGTTTTGCTTTCGAGTGGAAGCTTTCTAATCGCTCAAATTTTAGTTTCCTATTTTTTGCGTTGGGATTACTGAATATGATCTAAGAAGGCCGAATATGGGACATTCCATCCTATTTCGATGGAAAAAATGCGTGGAGGGGCCCGCGATAAGCCAATTTCTGAAAAAAAGTGGAAATAATTTTTTTTTTTTAAGTTATGGCAAGTCAAAATTTTAAGACTGCCAAGAATGCCTTTTCAAAAACATTGTTTATTTTGAAAAATATGCGTGTTAGAGAAAAAATAGATCAGTAATTTGTTGTAAAAAAAAAATGGCTTTTTTATTTAAAAAAATATCTGGTTAAAAAACGTCAATTTTATGGTTTTTTTAACAACAAATTTAATTGTTTAACAATAGATGGTGTCTCTATGTATGCATTATGGTGACCCGTATCGGAATTTTTCATGGGCCACCCCCTCAGAAGACTCGAAATAAATAAATAAAAATTCTCTCGAAATTTCAGCTTTTTCTCTCAATTCTAATAGGTCCGCCGAGAACGTTGTTTTTTCCCCATAAGAATAACGCGGGATTTTGATGGAAAATTCGAACCGATCCCCCCTTGTTATGCCCCCAAACATTTTAAAATCATAGAAAATTATTGAGTAAATGAACTACTTTACGGAAAACGGAAATTTTTAGTTTTTTGTTCACATCACACAATAGTGTAATTATTCTTATGGGAAGAAATGTGTTATTCTTATGGGAAACGTTATTCCCGTGTTGTTTTATGGGAAAAACAAGGCTCTTGAGGGGCGTTTTAGGATTGAGATAGAGAGCTGCAATTTCAAGAGAATTTTTTTTCATTTAAAAAATTTCGGAACGGGTGCTCTAACGGGATAATTACGGAACATTTACAATAAAATATAAATACAAGAAATAAGAAGATTTCCAGAAGAAATCTCTACAACTTACTTTTTTACTGAGGAAATACACGTGCTTAGTGAACTTTTAGGGAATTAAAAGTGGTCATTACATTTTTTATTCATGACTATTGCTGCTTTTTAGACTTTGTAATGTCCTTCTTCTCTCCAAAGACATCTAACGAAAAACAATAGCCATAATAAAATTTAAAACTCCTCCACAATAATAAACAGAACGATTTTTATTTTGTTATCAAAGACCTAAAGGGACAAAAGTACTTATCAGACTAGAAAGTGCCTTACAACACTGTTGGTAGTATCTTTCTTCAAATAGAGATAAGACAACTAGGAAATCTCAAGTTTAACCCTCCTGGACGTGGCCCTTTTAGATGACTTCTCACCAATGGGAAATCATGAAACCGATGTGGAATCGAAGCTACAGTATTTCTTTTTTCGATGTTATTTTTCTGGTTGAGTTACTTTTTATAGTTTTGAAAAACTAAAAAAACTAATTGTTAACTAATTAGAGAATTTTTTTAACTGGGTTTGGTACAACCGGTACAACCGGGCCATAGTGATAAGAAGAGTAGGAGAACTGGCACATTTTTTGTAGACAATATTACAAAATATTATCCCACTCTTATTTGATAAGAATAGTATAATACTTATGAAATCATTTATTAGAGAATTTCAGATTTATTCATTTCCGTAAACTAGCTACAGATTTACCTTCGTACATTGTTAGTTTATTTTTCACTAGCTAGATTATATTATGTTATATTAATTTATTTTATTGTTTTCTTTCCAATTTTTCTTTGCGGTTAGATGAAATTAAATTTATTGGATTCTATTCCCATTGTAGTATACAAATTGTGGGAAAAGTTTTTCTCATTTTCAAATGAAGAGATATTTATGTTAAATAATATCAGTATAATATAATAATTCCTCTCAATGAAATCAGATCATGAAAATGAAATTTTTCGTTTTCATAATCTGATTTCATTGAGAGGAAATGAGAAAAATGCAGGGAGAGATGATCAGCAAGAAAATAAAAGAAAACGATTTTTTATTTTTCTGAAAAATTTAAAAACTGATTTTTTTTTAAATGACGAAAAAATATCAATATGTTCCCTTTCTATGATCTAATTTCAATGGAAGAAAGTGAAAAAAAGAACAGAGATACGTGATCAGCAAGAAAATAAAAATTTCGATTTTTCAATGTCTCCGGAAAGTTTTAAAATTGATATATTTTTTCAAATAATGAAAGAATACCCATCAATTCAATTTCTACCCTCACATTTTGATAGAATACATTAAAAATAATAGCAAAGAATAAAAATCGGAGATGAAAAATTTTATCGGATTAATATAATGTAATTATGTTTATTGTATTCCTACAGAACCACCGGATGCATGCAGGAGGCTCTTCACAGCTCGGAGACGGGGGACAGAGTTGTCTTGGGTGAGGGCGAACATTTGATATCCGGAGCTGGAGGGTTGGAGGAGGGTGGGAGGATCGTGGGGATCGGAGACAGGAGGAGTACAATTGTGAGTGCCAAGGAGAGCACTTCTGGACCCTCCGTTCTCGATTTCTCTGGAGGAGAGGTGACTATTCTAGTGATTTACTCGATGTTATTATTTCCAGTTGAAGTACTATGAATAAACTCCAGTTTAGACGTTGAGTGTAACGACGAAAAAAAAATTCAAAACGTACAAAAAAATAAAAATTCATGTTTGTGAGTTTTTTTCGTGAACTCTAACTTTGATGAGCGCAAGAAATTTATCAAATCTTTTCGAATCAAATTTTTATCAAATTCCTTTTTCGATGATTTTTCAAACAATAGTCTCTCTAAACAGAAGGTATCGAAAATTTTAAAAAATAGACGACAATGTAAAAAAAACACTGGATCTAATGGCAAATGAAAAACTTAAAGTAGATGTGCCCTTACGATAAATTTGAAGATTATTAAAAACTGCGAAGGATTTCCAGAAAATTCGATTATGTTCGGAATCATAATTTTTTTCTGAATTTCAAGTCCGTTTTGGTTTTTTAAAGAAAAAATGTTGAAAAGTTAGGATTTACCTCAACGTCTTATATAAAAAATCAATACTTCTTTTATGATTAAAGACTAAAATCGACATTTTTTTCCATTAAATGGAAAATATTGAGAAATATTTTGACACCTCATAGAAAATGCTCAACCGTTTTCACTCTAGTTCATTCATCTATTTATGAGAAGAAAATGTTAAAAAAAATATTAATATTTTACAAAATGTAATTTGGACAGAACTGAATGGGTATACATTTTCAAAAAAAAAATTCACGTCATTTAGCTGGAAAATTTATAAATTTATAAAATTCTTTTATGCACTTCATCGAGTTGTTGTTATATTCATCCAATTTCACATTCTTGACGTACTCAGGTGGTTCTTCAAAATTTGACTCTCGATCTTGGTGAACTGCAGGCAGGCATACTAGTACGAAAAGGCACAGTGAGAATAATTGACTGTAGAATAGTAGCTTCGAATCAGAGTGTCGTTAAGCTCGGTATAGTCGTTCTCCCAGAGGGAAAACTTATTCTTCAGAACTCATCCTTTGTGGGGCTTGGAACTGCTGTGGTTATTCACAACACTGGACAATGCCAGATGGAAAATTGTGATTTCGAGGACTGCATTGAAGGCCTGCAGGTAAATAATAATGCTAAATGGTCCTTGTCTAAATTCAGATGAATGTCCATTTTCCTCAGCTACTTCTGACCCTTTTGTTCGATTTTCAGCTGCAGGATGGAGTCGACTTTCATGCAGTTCGTTGCAGATTCTCGAATTTCAAGGAGTACGCCATTCGCATGGAGACTGAGAAATACATCACTGGGGTGGAGAGCAAGACGGGGAGCATTGAGCTCCTGAAAGACGTTAGAGAGGTGACCCTCGAGGAGTGCACATTCGCGAATAATCTCAAAGGAGACGTTGCTATACGACCACGATTGTCTGTCGCTCTCTCAGCCAAACACGATAATGCAATGGAAATTGTTCCTTAAACTCTTGATTTTAATTCTTTTTTATGGAATTTAATATCTTGTTTTTATGGATTTAACTAGAAGTGGAATATTTTTGTAATGATTAACTAATAAATAGGTTTGGTACCAAAGATTTATCTTATGTCGAATCCTTATTTAATGTTAATGATTGCAAATTGAGGAAATTGCAGGCCAACGCTTGGAAGCTGATCTTTTAACGTCAGAAACCCATTTTTGTAAGGAATTGGAAGGATATTATGGCAACAAAACGGACTTCTGGGGAAATTTTCTTAATTCTAAAGCGAAATTTCGTCTTCATGAAATTTAGGAAATGTTTTAACCGAAAGAAAATGATAGTGTTTTGAGAAGAAGTGAGGATAGGGGAAAATAGACCCCTTCGTTTTTTTTAATGCTCACACGCACGAAAAAACTTAATAGAAAAGCCTAGCGAATGCGCTAGGTAATTCTGTTGGATTTCTATTAAATGTTATATTAGTTCTTGGCCGATCCTGTTGAAATGTTAAATACAAAATATTCTATAGAAAGAGTAAATCGAATTTCATTCTTCTATAGAATTTTGTCGGCTCAAGTTTTTTTTTTCATTTTCTTTTTTTTTCTTTTCATTAAGAAAATCAAACAAAAAACTTGGAAAATTTTAGCCCAGGAAATTCTATAGAAAACATCTCAATAAAGAAAGTTGTATAAAAAAATTGAATTCTATTGATTTTTTCTATAGAATGTTTTCTATCGAATATTTCAATAGAAATCCAATAGAATTGTCTACCGAATTCGCTAGGCTTTTCTATGAAATTTTTTCGTCTGTGCACATCTGAGAAATAGATTTAACAACTGGGTTCAGTGTACGCTCATTACAAAGGGAAAGAATTATTAATTGGTGAATAATAATTATTAATTATTATTCACCAATTCCTTCCAGCCAATTTACGGTCACAAATATGCAAAAATACAAGAACTTCAAATTTAAAAAAATGAAAATTCTCCCATGTTTTAAATTTTGCCAAATTGGCTGGAAGGAGTTGTTCAATAATGATAAACAGAAACGGTTAGATAAATTATGGGATGAATTCAGTAGCGAAGTGGTAAAACGGTACAAGTCAATTTTGACTACTGTCCAATTTTCAATGGATATCTCGGAATCTAAGGGAGATAGCTAAATTTTTGTTAGGACCTTCTCTGTAGAGCAAATTAAGAGCTGCAAAAAAGATAAAGACGAAAATTTCGCTATCTCCCTTAGATTCGGAGATATTCCTCGAAAACTCAGCTAAGAGATAAGTCGACTTAAACCGTTTTACCACGTCGCCACTGAATTGTTTTTTTCATGCGGAAAAAAATGATCCCATTTCGTTAAAACTCAATGAGTCCCTAACATTTTCGAAAAACTCAAAAGTGTACATTTCCCACACTCTTGTGTTACCGAGAAGTCAGTAAAACACTTCATTCCGACTCAGTCCTAAGGAGAGACAAGACTTCTATTTTACCTCTTTATCAGTAATGCAATTCCCCATAATGCACACGCAAAGAAAAACGCTATAAATATTCGCAATTCCTCCCAAATCTCCTTTAAAAGTACCTCTACATACCCCTAAATTCCATCAAACACGATAATAAACACTTGTCTCAATTAAAAGTTCCCGCTTGAAAGCAAAGATGGCGCCACGAGTTCGATAAACCATTCGGTTCAGTGGTCAGTGCTCCGACACGCGTTTGTTGAATCCGCTCGGATAAACACCGGCATTCGGAATATCCAATAAACAGTGAATACAATCCAATGAGACGTCCCTTGTCACTGCGAAGAATAATCCCGAGAATTTCCTCGAAACAACGAGTCCCAGTGAGTGTCGCCAAAATAAAACATAAATGACACAGAAATAATTTTGGAGCCCATCGACATAACCTCCACCCCTCCAACCTTGCACGTGTCTCTCAACAATACAACAAACCCCTCCCCCTTGCTCCGAAATAATTAACAACCGAATGAATTAATTTATCCCCCCAGAGCGCTCGAAATGATTTAAACAGTCCCCTTCTTAAACAAATCAGATAATTAATTCACACCATACTGTACCTGTCCAGCATGAACGCTCGATATCACAAAATAATTTGCGAAATACATTCGTACGTTTCATAATTCATTTCCTGGGTGCATATCACTATAATTGAGAATTAATTAACCGTGAATTCAACGTGACATGCACTGGAATATTGCGTGATTGAGATATACATACATAACACGTAGTTCATTAAAACATTGTGACAGTGTGTGTTGATAATTTCGAGGGCACATGCGCTCCGAATTGGGAATAGTGTTGAGTATCGGTTTTTTATGGAAATAGTACACTGAGAGAACAATGAACAAGTTCTCAAACAAGTTTTGCTTGGGCCAACAAAATCGTTAGTTGGACATTACTAAGAAAATAATTGGTTTGTGCGAATTTGAAACATGAATAATTGCTCTGCTTTCGACAACAACGAATTATTTGGCTCAAGAGGCGGATAAAAATATCTTTTATGGAGGGATATTTACAAAAAATATTTTGTCCCCAAATTACAAGATTGCTGTGATGTCATGATTATTATTTCAATTAAGAATTCATTTTTTGTCTGATGATTGAATAGCCGAAACGCCAAACTACTATCCCTCGTTATGGGAGCACCGAATAACGTAGAAGTAGTGCTAGAAATTATATTTCTTGCTTGCACAGTAGAATAAAATTTTTTTCAAGCTTTTTTTTAAAGAATTTTTTTCAAGATATTATTTACAACATTCAAACAACAATTCTGAGGAGAATGTTGAGGGACTTTTTTTAGAGAATTTTATGGGCATATCACTATAATTGAGAAATTAATTAACCGTGAATTCAGCGTGACATCCACTGGAATATTGCGTGATTGAGATATACATACATAACACGTAGTTCATTAAAACATTATGACAGTGTGTGTTGATAATTTCGAGGGCACATGCGCTCCAAATTGGGAATAATGTTGAGTATCGGTTTTTTATGGAAATAGTACACTGAGAGAACAATGAACAAGTTCTCAAACAAGTTTTGCTTGGGCCAACAAAATCGTTAGTTGGACATTACTAAGAAAATAATTGGTTTGTGCGAATTTGAAACATGAATAATTGCTCTGCTTTCGACAACAACGAATTATTTGGCTCAAGAGGCGGATAAAAATATCTTTTATGGAGAGATATTTACAAAAAATATTTTGTCCCCAAATTACAAGATTTCTTATTATTTCAATTAAGAATTCATTTTTTGTCTGATTGAATAGCCGAAACGCCAAACTACTATCCCTCGTGATGGGAGCACCGAATAACATAGAAGTAGTGCTAGAAATTATATTTCTTGCTTGCACAGTAGAATAAAAATTTTTTCAAGCTTTTTTTTTAAAGAATTTTTTTCAAGACATTATTTACAACATTCAAACAACAATTCTGAGGAGAATGTTGAGGGACTTTTTTTAGAGAATTTTATGGGCTAAAAAAAAGCTTTTTTGATGTTTTTGCCTAAAACTAGAGGTTTTAAAAATATTTTCGAAGTAATCTACATGAATTTTAAAGTTTATTTTGAGATTTTTTATGTTTTCGTAGGGATCTTCAATTTGTTTTGTAAATACAGTCGACTTGATATAGATAGATAAATAGAAATGCTTTTCATTGCCTTGGGATAAAAGAATCCCATTTCGTGGGCTACACGGAGAAAAATTCTAATGATGTTCGGTAAAATTCTTGGGGACTTCTTATTTCATTTAAGAATTCATTTGACAATTTTTTTGAAGTACATTATTTACAATATCCAAATTTTTTTTTAGAGAATTTTTTAGAGAATTTTTTTTTAGAGAATTTTATGGGCTAGAAGAACGATCTCTTGATGTTTTCGTCTGAAGCTAGGGGTTTTAAAAATATTTTCGAAGTAATCTACATGAATTTCAAAGTTTACTTTGAGATTTTTTATGTTTTCGTAGGAATCTTCAAATTGTTTTGTAAATACAGTTGACTTGACACGGATAGATGAATAGAAATGCTTTTCATTGATTCTTGGGATAAAATAATCTCATTTCGTGGGCTACATGGAGAAAAATTCTAACGATTTTCGGTAAAATTATTGCGGATTTCCTATTTCATTCAAGAATTCCTTTTTTGTCTGCGATTAGTGAATAGTCGAAACGTCAAACTACTATCCCTCGTTTCATGTAAACATTTGCCGGGAAGAAAATATGTATGGGAGCATCAAATAACGAGGAAGTAGTGTTAGAAATTACATTTCTTACTTGCACAGTAAATAATTTTTTTTTGGAAAGACTATTTCTATTTTTGCAATCTAGTCGTAAAATTGTGTAGTCTAGTAAAATTTTTTCGAAGACACTTGTTTCACAGAATTTCAGGAACTGCAAGAAATATTTTTTGGTATTTTCATCTAAACTCGTGGTTTAAAAAATATTTTCGAACTAATCTGCATGGATTTCGATGTTTATTTTCCGATTTTTTATATTTCCGTAGGAATCTTCAAATTGTTGTGTAAATGCAATCGACTTTAGATAGATGAATAGAATAAATTCTTCAGAAAAATTCTTGTACTAGTACACGAAAAATTCCAATTTGCCTATAAAAAAATGTTCTAGTGTTTCTGTTGAAACTCAATAGTTCTTGAAAGATTCAAGGGATTTATCGCGAACATATTGAGGACTCCATCAATTCTGAATACTGTTGCCCATTTATTACAAATGAGTAGTTTTTTCAAGTACTCCAGCTGGCGAAATAACGTTCGATGGACTTAAAAGCCTTCCGAACATGTATTTTTATTTCATCGGCGAGACCTTCATCATCCGGGAGATCGTTTAAATCATAAAGATACCGGAGATATCAGCCAATAACTCAAATCGCATTATCTGTCTAGTGAGACTCTTCTGGATAAATCATTTCCAGTACAAGAGTAGAGAATTATTTTGGGATTTTATTAATCCTGTCATATCGCTTGAATTCTTGGACTGGAAAAGTTATCTCAATGGTATTTCACTATTATCTATTTATAAATCCTTAAATGCTTGATTTTACTCCGCCATAATTGGCTCCCAATTCGGTGCAGCTATCCCTAGGGAAATTAAAAATTCATCTGGGGGTTTCAACTGGTTTAATTTTTCTCTTTCGTTGATGTTGGAGCTGTATTTTCCAGGTTGAAATGAGAAATTGAAAAGTTTTAATTAAGTTGTCTCCTTCTATTTGATTGTGATGTCATCAAACGATGCTTCCTCTGTTGGATTATTCATCGGGTATATTGTGCCACTGTTTTTGTTGTTACGTAATGAAATAGATGACTATTATTGATTATTCAGTAATGATACTGTTACTAGAAAGTTGATGCGAGTGCTGTTTATTGTTCAGTTCATTCCGTTTTCAAGAATGGTGGAAATGAGAAATGTGTGGTGGGCCCGTTACGTATTGAAGAATTTATGCATAAATAATGTGACTAGTGCAGATGGAATATGACCCAATTATTTACATCAACATTGCGCTATTGGAAATGTGTCAGAATGTCTGACTCTGTTGGAGCTTTTCAAAAATTCGAAACAGCTCTTGGAATAGCATTCATTTTCTATAATTATCGGAGATGGCTCTTGGTGACACTGATCACCTGGATAATTTTATGACATTTTCCCTAATCCGCGGTTTTCGAAATAGACTACCCGGCTACGTAGGTCTGTATACGTTGGTCCAATGCGGTGGACTATTTCTGTTTTTTAACGCTTCACTTTGTTGTTTGTTTATGAATGGGATATTTTTCTTACTCGTATTGTTGTTTAAGATTTAGCGGGTGGACGGAGGCTAATGTTAATTTGTCAACGTGAATTCTCCAAAATGAAAGTTGACTTTCCCCCTAGAAAAATCCGAGATCTGACACTTTGGCCCCCGGTGAAACATTTTTTTTTCAGTTTTCACTTTTTCCACATACTTTTGAGAGTTCTGAATAGTTCGTCACTTAAATAGTTGGAATCAACGTTCACCCGGCTAAAAAATCGATTTTGGCGAAAGTCGACTTTCCCCTGGAAAAACGGAAAATCTGACCCTTTGAAAATCTGAAAAAAAAACACTTTTTCAGTTTTCACTTTTTCCACATACTTTTGAGAGTTCTGAATAGCCCATCGCTTAAATAGTTGGAATCAACGTTCACCCAGCTAAAAAAATCGATTTTGGCGAAAGTCGACTGACTTTCTCCCTGGAAAAATCCAAGACAGATCCGACACTTTGGCCCTCGTGACCCTTGTGACCCTTTGACCGACTTTCCCCCTGAAAAAATCCAAGTATACGAACACAACGAATTTTTGCCACCACTAGGTTCTCCCTCAGTTCATTATTTCTTGCATTGCACGGAGAGAATTATTCAGTAGTAATACCCCGAGAGCTTCAAAACTATGGTGTATTTCCCGATAGTTTCGTTGCAAACACTTGAGGGTGTCAAGTTTGGCAGGTTAAAAACCCCGAGCGCTTGCGCGAAGGCTTTTTCTGCAAAACTTGGCACGATGTTTTGTTTGCAGGGGAGCTTAAGGGAAATACCCGATTAATGTTGAATCTCGAGGGGTATTTGTTGGATTATTTTTCCCAACCGGATTTTGGCCAAGCAGAGTGCAGTGGACAACAGTAGGAGGTGATTTGGGGAAGATTTGAACAAATTATGTTAATAGAATACCCCGATTTCCATAGACTGTCAAATATAAGATTCTATCTGAAATGAGCCGAAAAAATGAAGAGCTATTGTGGAATATTCAGGTAAAAACATGAAGAACTACTGCGAAATATTCAAAAGCTATGAGGAAATATCCGAAATAAAACTGTCGGGTAGCCTCAAATACTGCGCTCTGATTGGTCGAAATCCGATTGGGAAAAATAATCAATAAACATGACGTGTCTTTTCCGTAATTCCGGAGCGAAATATGGTTGTAGAAAATTTTATGGAACTGTCACAGAATTTTACCATAGCGCTCCGTAATTTTTACCTGAATCTCCTGCGAAAATTTACGATACCGTCACTGAAATTTTCTGAGTCGATTTCGTAATCGGTGAATTGTGAGTTGCGAATTGTGAGTTTCGTAATTTTTACTGAACATTTCTCTCCATGTATTAGATCCTTCATCTCAAGATCGACATAACTCGACATAACTAATACGTTGATTCATCGAGGAATTAATCTAGTGTTGACCGTCATCGTAGAAATCTTGAATCGAGAAATGCTAATTCTCAGTACAAAAATCCAATACTGGGTAATTATCAATAAACAAGTTTCTTGACGCGAGTGAGATATACTTGAAAGTTTTCTTTTTTCACTGCACTGCAGTCACATCGAAGGATGTCCAGATAAATAATATACTACTTGTTGCACAATCATATACTTTCCAAGGTATTCAACGCTCCTTGGAACTTACTTTATGCGCACCACTCAAACTCGATTAGTTGAGTGGTTGCTGGGATATTTCTGTAATTGATTTTCTCGTCTTGATGATATTTGTGAAAGAGCTGTGCCGATTGTACCCATGAAAAACACTGTTCCCTGCTATTACTAGATATAACAGAGGTCTACACTGAGAGAAAAGCGAACAAGTTCTCGGAAGTCCTGTTTGGGCCAGCAAAATCGTTAATTGATAATTATAAAAAAAGTAATTGTTTGGATGTAATTTGAAAGTCTCAAACATGAATAATTGCTCTGCTTTCAACAACAATGAAATATTTGGCTCAAGAGGCGGATCAGTCATACAAGACGCTACCTTTTCATACTGTTTAAACTTTTTGTCTGAAATTTCCGGTACACTTATTGGCAATTTTTATCGAATTTAATTACCACTGAAATTTCAAGGAATTTCGTTATGCACTGAAAATTGAGAATTTCGTGGAAAAATCAAAGAGAACTGTAAATTTCAGTTCCATTTTTCCTGAAAATAAATAAAAAAACAGAAAATTTCGGTAAATATATTCTTAAATTTTCAGGACAGCGACACTGAATGCGATTTAGGGAGACAAAATTATAGAATTTCAGATTTCAGTGAAAATTCAATGTAATTTGGCAGTGAATATTCACATTAGATTGGAATTTCAAATGAATTAGGGAATGATCGTCTTTATGCTGTTTAAAATTCTGGAATTTTACTGAATTTTCAGTGAAACCTGAAATTTCAGGATTTTTTTCCCCCTAAATTTTGCTAGAAATAACATTTCTTGCCTGCACAGAGAATAAAATCTTTTGAAAAGACTAAATCTATTTTTCCAATAAAATTTTTCGATCTCGGCGCACGCTTTGCATGTTTGCACAAAAAAATCCCTTTTTGATCATTTTTTACAAACAATTTTTTTTTTGTTCGAATACGACCTGTTGGAGAACTGTTTTTTTTCTCTCAGTTCAGTTCAATTTCTTTTTGAGTTTCAGTCAACACAGGCGGGGGATACCCTCAATATATTTATATTTGGATGCCGTAAACGTGGGCAAGGAAATCGCCCTGATTATCTCATTAGTTTTTGACATGTTTATGATAGGGATTTTGTAAAGATCACGGAAGAACAGCCTTCAGGAGATTTAACTTAACACTACAAAAATAGATTTATGATATGTTGACAACAAAGACTACGTCTACTACGATCCCAGTAGCGGAATACTGAGGGATATGACACAAGTTCGAATGAATTTGTTGTTTCATTTTTTAAAATTCCTAAAACTAAATCAAATAATATTATTATATTTATTTTAGGAGTAAATACAACTTTTTATGAAAAAATATTTCGAGAATTTTCAATTATTCCGATGCTCTCCTTCAAAACCAACAACAGTAAAAACCCTCCAACCATCAAAAATAGCCCTCGAGAGTGCAGTTTTATTAGTAATTAACCAACGCTCCACTTTCCTTCTTTAAAGATGAAAAAAACTGACTGTGATGCCAGAGGAACACGTAATTAACGATTTCAAAAGAGCATAACTCAACAATGCTAAAATAAACTCACTCGAATTGTGAGGGAGATGTAGATATTTAGGCGGAATTCATCTGCTTTATCGACTCCATGTCCGTAGTTAACTGGTGAAGACCATCAGACATCATATCTGGCTATTAGGTTTTAGAATTTAGTTTTCATGGTGTTTTCATGATATCTGTTGTAATTTATATACCGATTCTGAGCTCCGACACGGAGTGAAATATTCAGTAAAAATTACGGAACTCGCAACTCGCTCACCGATTACGGAATTGACTCAGAAAATTTAAGTGACGGTATGGCAATTTTTCACAGGAGATTCAGATAAAAACTACCGAACACTCTGGAAAAATTCCGTGACAGTTCCGTAAAATTTCCTACAACCACATTTCGCTCCGGAATTACGGAAAAGATACGTAATTTTTATTGAATATTTCTCTCCGTGGATGTCTAGGGGTAATCCTTATATGCCCTCCCCTGCAAGGGTGGGCGGTGTGAGAAGGGAGGGGGAGGGGGTAGCCAATCATTTTTAATTCAGTAGCAAAGTGGTAAAACGGTACAAGTCAATTTTGACTATTGACCAGTTTTCAATGAATATCTCGGAATCTAAGGGAGATGGCAAAACTTTTGTTGTGATCTTCTTTGTAGAGTCGATTGAGAGTTACAACAAATGTAACTACTAAAATTTCGCTATCTCCCTTAGATTCGAAAATATTCCTCAAAAACTAAACTGAGAGATAAGTCGACTTAAATCGCTTTACCAATTCGCTACGGAATTGATCAGGTGATCAATTAAAAAAGTTAATTTCTCAATTATATGCTCAATATTTCCCAAACTAGTAGATCAATTGAGACGAGTCAGACATCTATTTTTTACTTCTCAAAATTCTATATGAAAAAGCTCCCTCAGCATTGTCTTCTAAATTGATTACTCTCAGAGACAAATGCGAAATAATCTGCACATAATTGTCACATTCATCTCCATCACATTTTTAACGATTCCAACGCTCTCGTCGAGCAACATCACCAGCCAGAGACCTTCGACCATCAAAAATGGACGGCAAAAGTGCAGTTTTAATAGTAATTACTCTCGATCCCCCGGGAATGAAAAAAAATTCACTCTAATGCCGGAGAAACCAATATGACTGATGCCACTGGAGCAATAAAAACCCGAATGGATTTCCCTTTATGTCTTTTTTTCGGTCACTTTCATTTTGTGTTAGTGACACAATACACTGTTGGACATAAGAGAGACACATAATGCCGTAGTTTATGTGCTCCAGAGTTGGGCTATGTCGAATGTACCATAAAAATGCAGTTGTTCCATCGTACTATTTCAGATCAAACGAGGCGGTGTCCAACGACAAGGTCCACTGGCGTCTCTGGTGGTTGGTATTGGTGGTGAACGTGAAGTGGTGGAGCATCAACGACTGGGAATACCACAGGAATTACTAAGGAGCTTGGGTGACCAGTGTTGGCTATCAAATAAATTTTCAAACATGGTGGAGACCAGTGGTCCACCTTTGGCGGGTCAGCCGGTTGACCGACAGACGCAATTTGGCAATGCCAGGCGTTTCGAGCCGTCAGACTGCATTTTTGTATTCAAGGATACGGAGTCGGATTATGAGGAACCACCGAGTGGCGATGAGGTAAGTGGTTTCTCGGTTTTTTTTGAGGAGTTCAGTTACTTCAAGAGTTGGAGGCGAGGGGCTATTCACAGGCGAATAGCCCCTCCTGGGTGACACCGCGATTACAAAATGTAATCGATTACCCAGGATTACGGGACTGATTACACTGATTACCATTGCCTATGGGATAACCGTGATTACCAACAGCAGAGAATGTGATTACATGATTATAAATGATTTCGTCGATTACATTCTGTGATTACATTTACAACCCACTTTTTTGTTTATCTGTCACACAGAATATTAAACGTGAAATGCGTTGAAAGATGAGAAACATTTGAAAGCTACTAGTGAATTTCCGTCGGAAATTTTTTAGAAATTTCCGAAATAAAATTGTTTGACAGCCTCAAATACTGCACTCTGATTGGCTGAAATCCGAGTGAGAAAAATAATCAGGTAAAAAAAATGAAGAACTACTCCGAAATATTCAAAAGTTAGGAGGAAATATCGGAAATAAAACTGTCGGGTAGCCTCAAATACTGCGCTCTGATTGGGAAAAATAATCTCTGATATTTTGCAAATTAACCCGTACGGCTTTTTCTATTCAATTACACGACACTGGCAATTATCTAAATACTTTCATTTTTTCCATTACTGTTTACATTTTATAATCAATAGTTTGTTTATAACACGTAAATACCAGGCTGAAGGCCCTCGGGCGATGCCCAGTCGCGAGTTTCTTTAAAAATAAAATACGAATTTCGTTAAAAATAATCATAATCGGTGAGCACTATTCAGACTCATCGACTATTCCCCGCCACTTGACTAGAAATAAAATGATGGTTTTTCTCGGATGCGCAATTAGTTTCTCATCGAGATAAAACGAATCGAAGTGGCAGTAATGCACTTTCTGTGAGTGAACCAATGATCAGTCAAATATGAATGGCAATGTCTTCACCGATAATCATCAATTTCCCCGGATTACCCAGAGCTTGATTCAATTTCCTCATTCGTCATTAGATCGAGTCTTTATAGAACTGGAAATTCTGAGTTTTAGAGTTCAAAGATTAGAGTCGGATTCTCGAACGGTCCATTAGTTCCTTGAATCCCAAAATGATCATCCAAAGTTTTACGGAGTGAATTTATATCCCTCTTCTTAAACTGGGTGAACGAAAAGGCTGATCGTCAACTTATTGGTCCGACAGCTCTCCCTTTTCCTTCATAATCCATTTATTATTCACGGATTACTTAGCTCCTCCACCGGTGATATCCGTTGAAATTGCCACTCGGAATTTTTTACCTCCCTCCACAATATTCTGATCTCCACTGAGTGAAAAAATTACTTTTGCAAAACAGTCGTTTATCATAAAGAACAAAGTTTCTGACATCTAGAACAAGATTCTAGAATTCAGAAACGTTTCGCTTGATTTGAGAACAATTTTTCGTGTTTGAAAAGCTCTGCGCGTGTGCGAATACTTGAAAAGTTTGTCCCAGTACTCTCCGAGATATTTACAGAGAAAAAACGGGGTTTCGTTTTCAGGAATATATCGACAGTTTTTGGGAATTGATTCTTAATGTTTAGAAATGTTTATTAGCAAAAATAATTAAACTATATGCAATACAAGACCATAATTTCCCATTTTGTTTTGATTTTTGTCATGCACTTCCGTGTTTCGATACACTGTTAGAAAATTACTCTTGAAATTTCAAGTGAAACAGCTTGAAATTTTCAACAACACGGAGAAAACTATTCACGGAGAGAAAAATTACGGAACAATTCACGTAATTCGGAATGGGGAATCGTTTCCCGGAAATTTTTAAAGAAATGGAAGAGAAGAAATCTGAAACGTTCAGTGAATTCTCAGGTTCATCACCGTACAAACTACGAAATTGTCACGTAATTTTTTTCGAAGAAATAAAATCGTACAGAAACTTCCCGACTTATTATGCCTCAAAAATCATAAATTCTTGAACGTTCAACAATTTTTATGAAGCTGGTGAATTATTTCTACGTTCCGTTCCGTAAAATTTCTCAATCATTGGGGAAAAATTACGGAATGATTTGTTGTCCCCACAGCGGTGAGTCATCAGACGGGTGGTTAATTTTTATACGGAACAAATCGTAGAAGTTACATGGCGATTCGTACAAGTTCAGTTCCGACTCGCACTTTTTATTGAATTTTACTTCGCTCGGGGATTACATTTAGAAACGTAATTTTTACGTTTGTTTTCTGGTCATTTTTATTGAATTTTTCTCTCCGTAAGGGACAAAGTTACATGAAATTTCTGTCTGTTTCTTCATTGACGAATCAGTTAATTTCTTGAATATTCAAGTAATTCTCAATGTTTAGGTCCATACGGCACCGAAAAACCCTGACAATATTGAAAATTCCGGCAAGAACTTTTCTGAATTCTCAATCTGTTGAAAATTGGATCGTATGTGATGTTCAATTTTCATGATTATTTTGGACATTCAAGCTTTCATTGAAAAATCAATGATTATTTTACATGAAAAACCCTATTTTCTTGAATGCGAAATTTAGTGAACATTTTCATTTGAAATAAAATTCAACCTCACAACATCGAAATTTCTAACAGCGTATGTAATATATTGATAATGTAATGAGGTACGATAGTGATCAAGGATGGCCAGCAATCCTCCAATTCTTCAATATCAAAAGAATTTCCGACTTACATTGGTCAAGGTTTAAATATACTAATCGAAATTTAAAATCAGTAAAATAATTGATAGTCTAAATTTGCAATTGATGATGAATTAAATCTTTAAAAATATGGAACCATAAATTTTCTATTAACTAGATAATACTAAATTTCGGATAAGGAATTTCCGATTATCCAAGTAATCGTCAATCTTCCTAACTCAATTACTGATTGATAAATAATTCAAAATTTGACTATTTGAATTGATGATTATTTCAATAATTGAAATTTAAAAGTGATATTAACTAATTGATCACTCAATAATTTAACAGTAATTATAATTAATAGATATGGCTGTCCCTGTAGTGATAAATGGGAATTTATTCGAGTTTTGTGAAGCGCAAACCTTCTGAGGTTTAAGCCATTGAAAATAATTTACTTCTCTCGAGTAAATATTGTCTGCATATTAGGAAATTTTTCTCTCAGTGTAGTGGATGGAAAGAGTTTTTCTCCCCCTCAGTGTCCTTATTCTTCAGTAACTTATCCCTGAATAAGTCCTGCATTGCGTACATCTCACAAAGCCGTAGAAAATGGCGTCACAATGGTGCATCGTTGCTCTGAAAATATCTCCTCGGCAGTGTTCTCTCGGTGCAGGGTGAGCGATCAATCACTCTTGAAGAAGAAGAGGCTCAAAACCCGAGAGCAGTGCGATGCGGTATGCCAGCCGTAAATAAACCAACACTGGCCAGTAACGCTTTTGACTCAAAAGCACTGATGTCCCTGACGTGATTCAATTCCGTTTTCGTTTTATCAGTATCGAGTAGCTCGAGGTTTTTATGACGTTCGAGGGTGGGGTGCTGATACATATCTGGGATTCAAATGTAAAGATTGATTTGAAAGGCAGAAAACTTTTTTTATTGTTCGATTTTTAGAGAAAAAAGTCATTGGATTTTTTTCTTTTGGGAATTTCACGGTCGAAAAAAGATTTGTTGATGTTTTTTCTATAAAGTTATTAGTTTTAGAGATATTTGTGAAATTATATGACCACATTTCTTGGCATGGCGTCCAGTTCCTTCATTAGGGAAATTAATAATTCCAGTTCAGTGGCTTGAATGATCTAAAAAAATAATTGCATGATTAATTTGTGGAAATACATATCGGAGGTTCGAATGAAAAGATTTACTTGAAAGGTGGAAATTATTTTTATCATTCGGAAAATAAGGTTTTCGAGCTGAATAATCGATTCTGTGGAAAGATTTTCAGAGAACAAAGTCAAGTATTTTTTTTGTGAGGAATTTTATTTTTTCGATAAACTCCGGAGTTTTATTTGTGAACATATTTGCGAAATGATTTGAATAAATTTTTTGGATTGGAGTTCAGCTCCTTCATTATGGAAATTAATAATTACATTTCAATTACTTCAATGATCTAAACAATAATTGAATGATTAATTTGTCGCAATTTGTTGTAATTTTAATCAGAATAGTTTTCAGTGTCGTATGGACCTGAAAATCAAGAATTACTTGAATATTCAAGAACTTAACTAATTCGTCAATGAAGGAATATCCAGAAATTTCATATAACTTTGGCGTTGTTAAAAATTTGAAGCTTTTTCACTTGAAATTTCAAGAGTAATTTTCTAGAAGTGTATTTACTCGAAAGACATATAAATGTTTCCTGAGAACAATCACTACTACGGGAATTATCATGTTCTGTGGAAATTTTCTTTTTTGTCCACAAGTAAATTGATTCAACACGACAAAGGATCTCTTCAGGGGAGCATATAATTTTTTGTCAAAACTAATTGTTTTTCTCTCAGAGTATTTGCTAAATGATCTGAGTAAATTGTTTGCAATGGCGTTCTGTTCCTTCATTATGGAAATTAATAATTCCTCTCCAACTACTTGAGTAATCTAAAAAAATAATAACAATTATTTTGGAATAAAGTTCAGGTCTCACTGAAATTATAAACAGAAATATGAAATAAACACCTCTCTCAGTGAAAGTTTTTTCTTCACAATGAAATAAAAAACATGTCTGAAAATCAGAAACCTGCTACCTCGACTTTTCATGCAGAGTTTAATGTTGAGAAAGTTAGTAAGCTCGTGAAAAATTTTTCTCACGGGCAATTTAGGAGTTTCAACGTTTGAGGAAATTCGCCTTTCCATGGGTATAAAAAAGCGTAAATCGTGTCACTGACAATCAGGTTTGCACGTTTTTAATGCCCAACCCAACAGCCCCATCTTTTACAACCTTCTTGGGTAAATTCATTTATTTTCGACACTCACTCGTCGTTTTTTTTTTTTTCACTTTGTTCTTTGTTTTCCTACCTATGAATTTTCCAAGTCGTGGAGTACCCG